ATTCAATGAAAAGTAAACTTTCTTAATCTAAAATTATACTTGCCCAGGACCTTTGCATATGCTGTTCCCTTTACTTGAAACACTCTTCCCCTATGACACCTTCTCAGCAAGAACTTTTGTTGATCATATATTTATTTTTTAAATTTAATTTAGTTTATATTCAATTAACATATGGTATATTATTAGTTTCAGAAGTAGAGTTCAGTGATTCATCAGTTGTATATAACACCAGTGTTCATTATATCACATGCCCTCCTTCATGCCCACCATCCATCTTCCCACCCCATCTTCCCACCGTCCCACCCCTCCAACAACCCTCAGTTTGTTTTCTATAGTTAATATATGTGCTGCCAAAGCGAGCACTGTTTCCTATAGTTAAGAGTCTCTTTTGGTTTGTCTCCCTCTCTGATCTCTTCTTGTTTTGTTTTTTTCCTCCCTTCCTCTATGCTTCTCTCTTTTGCTTCTTAAATTTCACATATGACGGAAATTATATGATAATTGCCTTTCTCTGATTGACTTATTTTGCTTAGCATAATACCCTCTGGTTCCATTCATATTATTGCAAATGGCAAGTTTTCCTTTTTTGATGGCTGAATAGTATTCCAGTGTATATATATATCACATCTTCTTTATCCAAAGTTGATCATCTGGGATCCCTGGGTGGCGCAGCGGTTTGGCGCCTGCCTTTGGCCCAGGGCGTGATCCTGGAGACCCGGGATCGGATCCCACGTCGGGCTCCCGGTGCATGGAGCCTGCTTCTCCCTCTGCCTGTGTCTCTGCCTCTCTCTCTCTGTATGACTATCGTAAGTAAATAAAAAAAAATTAAAAAAAAAAACAAAGTTGATCATCTGTTTAAAACTGCACACATACCCCCTCCCCTGGCAGTCCTACTCTCCCCACATCCCTACTTTAGGTTCTACAGTTTACTTCTTTGTTTTTGTTTGTCTCCCTCTAAACTTATATGAGAGCAGGAATTTTGTGACTGTTTTGTTTGCTGCTGTATCTTAGCCCCTAGAATAGTGCCTGTCACACAGTAAGCATTCAATAAATTTTTGTGGAATGGTTGGTAATGATGCAGCTATTCAGGCAAACAGACAAATATCAAGATGGTCATGAATCAATGTAATAAAGAATCTGACTCTATTTTTGATGTGTGACAGATGACAGCTTTCAAGCTTCCCCCACTGCCTCCTCCCCTTCTGCCCACACCTGGGCAAGTTAACAAGAAAGTCCAACTGCTGCTGCTTTTGGTGCTGGAGGGAAGCTCAAGCCACAGACAAGAGACTGCTTACCCCAGCCCCACTCCCTGACCATGATAAAACTCGAAACCAGTCACCCCTCCCTGCTCTTGCAGGCTGATTTCAGACCTGCTTGGGAGACTTCCCTGCTCTGCCCAGAAAACCTCATTATGTGAGTATTAAGTTGCTTCACACATTTTTAGTGCATCTGTGGTGTCAGTTTCAACCTCTGAACCAAATTTTGAGCAAGGGGTCTCTAACACAACAAAGGTTGCTGTCACATCAGCCTCGGGCCCCAGGTTGGTTCTGCAATTGCTTTGTTTGTGCTACAGACATTAGCACATTTGTGAAAATTAAGGGGTTTGTGAAATTAAGGGGTTGCCAATGGTAACTATTTTCTTTTTTATCAGGTTATCTTGTAACCTCAGGACACTCTTTTGATTAGTGAATTCAGAAACTTGAAAGCAAAATAGAAGCACATTGTTGTTTCAAACACCAGTTCCACATCATATCAACCACTCGCATTCCTAAACCTAAAAATAAAAGCCAGGCAAAAGCTTCTAGAACTGACAATTAAGGGCCAAAGTTATCTGTAATATGGTTTCACTGAGTTACCCTAGGTTACACATTCATTTATTTCTGCACAATTTTGTCTGAGAGGAAACAGATTATTTTGCCATGACCAAAATATGAACTGAGCAGAAAATGATGAATCTTTCCCTACAACTGGTTGTCTGGGTTGAACGTGTGACATACAGTGTAGACATTCAGAAAAGCTGACATGAGCTGAGAAGCAGTTTAGAAAAAGATCACTGGTGACCTGGCCATGACATATTGATAAGAAACTCAAATACCATATTTGGTCTAAGCTGCCATTGAAGCGAAGACACATCACTTAAAACAAAATAAGATTAAAACACTGCCAATTAAGTTAAAACAATGCTATTCCATCCCTTAGAATTTTTTTCATAAAAATATTGTCATGATTTTTAAAGCTTTTCGTCACTCTTAATTTCTTACATATCACTGTTTGCATAAAAGGAAAAATATAAGAGAAACACATTGCTTAAGATGTTCTTCAAAATTCTTCATACTTAATGTCCAGCTCTTCTGAATCACATTTCCATTAGAGTCAACAATGCTGGATGCAAGATTTCTTAAAAGGATGCTTTGCTATTTTCACCAAGATTTTCTTCCTAGCTGCTGACCCCCAGTCTACAAATTTTGATACTGGCCCTGTCTTGATTTTATAAGAATATGTCAAAAACAAAACAAAACAAAACAAAACAACTGTGTTTCAGACCCCAGATCATGATCCATTGGTTTTGTGATCTAAAACATCAGGGGAGGCTTTTGTGTGGTCTGGCTGTCTGGAACTACAACCAAGTTTGAGTGTATAGATGATAATAAACACAAAACAACTGCCATCTGGGTGGCATCATCTCAAACATGTTAAAATGTGAAAAAACATGCATTACAGAATTGGTCAATGCCATATAAATGGCAAGAAAAGCTTGTACAAAATGAATTGATCTGGTGTATGACAGGATGACAGGATGTTTTGTGGTTTTGTATTGTTATTAGCTAAAAAATATTGTTCATGAAAACTCAAATGTTTTTTAGATTCCTGAAGTATTTCTAGAAGTTCTAATTCTAGCAACTCCCAGATCATGGCTTGCTTCAATCCAGACCCCAAAGCCCTGCACCACCTGTTCCCTGCTAGTGTTGCTAGCTTTAGCTCTGGCCATTCTCCTACATTCCTTCTGTGCTCCAGCTTTTTAAAGTTACTTGTAGTTTCCTAAATGGGCCATCTTCAGACTCACCTGTCCTAGTCAGTTCCAACTGCTATCATGAAGTACGGTAGACCACGCGGCTTGCAAACAATAGAAGTTTATTTCCCACAGTTCTGGAGACTGGAAGTCTAGATGAAGGTGCCAGCATGGTCAGGTTCTGAGGAGAACCCTCTCCCAGGTTGTAGACTGCTGGCATCTTGTATCCTCACACGGTGGGCAGCAGAGAGAAGGAAGCTTTCCCATGACTCTTACAAGGGTACTAATCCCATTCATGAGGACTCCAACCTTAATAGCTAATAATCTATAACCTTATAATCTAATCCTACTTACCTTCCCCAAAACTTACTTTCTGATACCATCACCTTGGGGTAGTGTTTCAACACATAAACTTTAAGGGGACACAAACATTTAGTCCATAATACACCTCTCTGCATTTATAACTGCTATTCCATCCATTTCCCATGTTTTCCTACCGGTAAATTCCTACTTACCCCCCAAATGTCACCTCATCCAGCAAGCCTTCTTAGATTTCTCTAGGTCCCTGTAGCTCTTTGTACATTGTGTTCAGAGTGTATGTTTGTGGGTGTGCTTCCTCTATGATACTATGAACTTTCTGGGGGCAGATTTGTTGTTTTACTGCTTTGTGTAACTTTGGTCTCCTCATAAGTACCTGGACTAGCGGGTTCTCAGGCAAAGCCTACTATAGAAATAAATGAATGAAAAGTTATCATTGTGTAATGCAATTTGAAAAATCCTGGAAAAGCTCCACTTCCTACCTCCCAGCATTTTACCAGTAGACATTACAAGAATCCACTGCTGAAATGACAATGCCCTCAGTAATACCTTAATTCTTCCTAGAAAATGAACAAGGATTAATTAATCACATCAGAATCTAAGCATGAAAGTTTGCTGAGAATATTCCCATCCAAAACTAAGCACAAGAGAAAGAGAAGGAGACAGAAAGAAGCTACTCAGAAAAAAGAAGAGGTCTCACTTCATTGAGGAAGATATCTCCATCCACCCACTAGTCTGAATTAGGTGCCTCCACCTACAAAGCTCAGAGTCCTTCTCACCCTCATCATTCTGTATCATCACTGACTCTTAGAACAGCATCCTGTTCATCACTGTATCTCCAAGTGTCAGCACAGTCCCCAGAACATACCGGTTGCTCAAGAGGAATTTTGGGAATGAAAGTGGATCTCAGAACCAACATTCATGCCTGGGGAAACGTGGTGGTGGTTCCACACGGCGCCTGACAACTTCTCAGTCAGACAGGTGGACAGAGAGATGTGTTTACCCCTTCTCCACCAGAGTGCTGCCAAATTCCAACCCTGAGGTGACAGACGGCAAAGTGGGGGAGGTGTGTAGACCCTCAGGCACAGAATGTCTCGGCAGCAAGCCAATATCAAGATGTCTGATTAGGAAACAGTGGTTGAGTCAGCAAGAAAAGAATCACAAAGTCTCAACTTATGTTACTTGACACAGCAAGCACTTATACACTTTATTGACTCCACTTCCGCAGCCATTGTGAAGCATATGAAGCAAATAGGAGCATTTAGGCAAATCTGAGAGAAGGCAGCCTTGGCCAGGAGCCATATGGTACTGGGCCATACAGTACTGATCTGCTGCTGATTATCATGGATGAGCCCCTTTCCATGCATAAAGGTGTCTCCTCCTGTGGGGTGTGGATTATTATGTTCATTTCATAGCACCTAACAGAGAGCCTGGCACATAGTAGATGCTGAATAAATATCTGTTGGATAACAGAGCAAGGAAGGAACTAAAACCAGAGAGGTCAAGTCCATCAAGGTCAGGTCCACCTGACTCTGGAGTTCCAAAGGCAAGAAGGTTCTTGGGTATGAGGATGCCCTTCAAAGATTATCAATCCCAGGATAGCATGGCCCTGTCCTAATGGTCAGCTCAACTTTGTTGTTCTCTCCCTCCCTCTCCCCCAACCCCCTACTTCCAGCATGTTGATTCAGTCAGTGAAGGCAGGCCGTGGATACTTTGACATGCTGCGAGAGGAGAGTGCCTTGAAAAAGAAGCAACAGCAACTTCAGAAACTCGAGGAGGAAGAAAGACATAAATTCCAGCCAGCCAAAAGGATGTCAGAAATCCATTATGGTGAACTTCTTTTAAAGTAAGTAGATGGGGCAGATGCAATGCCTGACAGTCTGCGGAAGGGCCTGCAGAATGAACGCCGCCTACAGACCAGTCCATTATGAAATGTCCATTTACATAACCATAGCAATAGGTAACAACCACAATAATTATAATGAGTGTCTGCTATATGCTTTATGCACATCTTTTCATCTAAATTTTAAAACATTCCTTAGATAGATAGTGTTATTACCCACCCCCTTTTTAGAGATTAGGAATAAAGTTTAGAAATGCTCACATAATTCCTTTGTGACTAAGATCATAAATTAGAAATCATCCCTGAGTCCCAATCCGAGTGACACAAAATTCCTAAACTGTGTCATTCTGCATGGACAGATTCCTAGGACACTTAGACTTGAATGAGGCACAAATCCAGAATGGAAAGGAGGTACTGAGGCAGGTGGACAGGAAAGAAACGATGGAAATGGTCTGCCCTTGTAACCATTGTCCTATTGGAGCGGTGGTCTCAATCCTGGCTACACCTTAGAATCACCCGGGAAGTTTTTAAAATGCCCAGGGGTAGATGGTGGAATAGGAGGATCCAAAGCTCACCTTATCCCATGGATATGACTAGATAACACAAAATACCCATGTCCAGGGTGCTTCCCAGACCAATTACATGAGACTCTCTGGGGGTGTTGCCTGGACATAGTACATTTTAAAGCGTACGTTTTAAAGTTCCCATGATGATTCCAACATGGAGCCAAGGTTGAGAGCCATTCTGCTAGGGCTTCAAGGACTCAAATTGCCAGGATGTCAGCTAAAGAGGAAAGGAACCCACAGCAGATTCTACCTTTCCTCCACAGTATGTCCTAAATTCTGTTCTTCACAGTGTTAACTTAGAGAAGTATCAAAGATACTTAAAAGAAAGATTTATTTATTTATTTTATGGAGAGAGAGCAGGAGGGGCACAGGGAGAGGGAGAGAGAATCTCAAGCAGACTCCATGCTGAGTACAGAGCCTGACATGGGGCTTGATCCCAGGATCCTGACATCCAAGAGTCAGACACTTAACCAGCTATGCCATCAGGCACCCCCTCATTATGATAGCGTCATTAAGCTAGCGTCAGATCCCACAGGTTAAGGGCTCAGTCCCGAAGACTACCCCCCACATCAGATGCCAACCACAAGTCCCAGGTTGTCACCTGTACTTCTGACTGACTGGCTATGAATCAGGGTTCCCCACCCCACTCCTTGGGTTTAATCGTTTTCTAGAGTGGTTCACAGAACCCAGAGAAACACTAACTTACATTTACTAGTTAATTTTATAATAGAGGATACAGATGAATGGCCAGATAAAGAGCTAAAGAGGGAGAGGTCAAGAGATTCTGTCCGCATGGAGCTGGGGAGTGCCACCTTCCTGTTACGTTGATGTATTCACCAAGCCAGGAGCTCTTGGAATCCCATATGTTTGGGATTTTTATGGTGGCTTTGCCACATAGGTATGATCTATGATTAACTCAATCATCAGCTCCTCTCCCCTTTTCTGCAGGATGGTGAGTGGAGCTGAAAAGCTCCAGGTTTCTAAAGATGCTGTGGTCTTTCTGGTGACCAGCACCCATCATGAAGCTATCCAGGAGCCCACCCAAGGGCTACTCCTTAGAGCAAAAGACATTTCTACCATGTAGGAAATTCCAAAGGATTTAGGAGTTCTGTGTCAAGAACCAGAGTCTAAGACCAAATATTAGAACAAAAGATGTTCCTAGTGCTATTACCACTTAGGAGATATCAAGGGTTTCAGGAGCTCTATGCCAGAAGCCAGGGGCAGTAGATACTGTTTCTGTTATTAGAAATGTTCATTACTAATGCCCATCCCCTCAAGGTTAGGGGGCAGAAAGAGAGTCTGCATAGAATCCCCAGAAGTGTGACTTTTGAGTGGGATCTTTAATGCCAAATAGAAAGAGATGTGATTAGACATGTCAGTATCAGCCCAGCAGAAATTCCTATGGCCAGCATTTCTGGGTAGGAAGGGCAGAGTTGAAAGAGGAAGGCATTCATGGTGTCATCTTTTGGAATCATTATTTTCAGAGTAAAAAGAAAGCTGGCAAGACATGACCTGAGCCACCTACATCCAGCCACTCAATGTGCCACCAATGTAGTCTGCTCATGGGATAGAGGCACATGATCAAGAGAAGGCCACTCAATGAGTAAGGCAGTTCTTACCCTCTCCATGAGTGGTCCAAGAGCTTAGTGCAAAACCTGCCTTCTCTGAGCCTGATGGTACTTAAAGCCTGGTACTCCTAGTGACACCAGCCAGCTGGTAGGCTTTCCCTGACATAAAGAGAAGGAATGAACTCAGGGCTCTTTTTTGCAGGGGTTGCACTCAGATTAATGGGCGCATGAACAGATGCTGGGGAAGGGTCGGAGGCATCTGTTAAAAACTCTCCTGCAACTTTTTAAATAGTTCTGTTGCCACGTCTCCCATGTTTGGGTATGGTTTTAATCCATGGTCATAGAACACAAGTCTCTCTTCTCCCATCCATGTTTCAGTGTGTGAGACATGGTTTATGTAAAATTTAATAAGTTTAAATATACATGAGACCATTCTTCTTGGAGACATTGGTCTCCTTGTGTCTTATCCGGTGGATTCTATGAGCTGCACAAGTCTATTAAAATAAAAGTGGAGGCCATTACTGCTGTGTAGCCACCAAATGCAAGTGGGGAAGCAGGGATTACAAAATACCAATGGGAGATTCTCCATATCAGCACAGAGTAGTGGTTAAGAGCACAGGACTTGGTTTCCATGTCCTGACTTCCCTCATACATAACTGTTTAACTTTGGGCAAATCACTGTACCTCTCTGAGCCTCCTTCACCCATATGAATGGTACCAAACTCCCAGGTTTGTTATGAGGATCAAATGAAACAATGCTTAGAGCAAAGCCTGGCATAGGAGACACCAGAAGCCCTCAGTAACTATTAGCTATTATATGCAATAAGGTGAATTTGATCTCTCTAGGCCTCAATTACCTAAAATCCTCAGATTTATGGCTAAAAATCTTCATTTCCAGGCAGGCTAGAAGACATCTCTCATCTAAGAGCCGTGTGCTATAAATATAATTCCAATCATAGGAGTATCAAAAAGACAAGTGTTCATTTAAAATACTTTTTTTTTAACAAGGTATTTGATCTTGTGCATTATAAAAGCAAGAGGGATTATTCCACCCTCCCGCCCCCACCCCCTGCTGTATCCAAGGCCATAGAATAAATTCAGACAAAAGTTTTAAGTCTGACAAAGTAGGCAAAGGAAAAAGAAAATCAAGCATGTCCCGAAAGATTTCTGTGTGCTAGCAGTCTTCCCACTGTGCCCAGTGACCTCGTTTTTTCATTGCAGATTTAGCTGAAAAGGTGAAAAAAACAAGGGGTAGAATTTGTCTTGTTACCCTAGTTGAGAGAGGACAGAAAACCAGAGATTAAGGACTGAAACAGTTGGGTTAATGTCTATGTAATCTAAACCTCCAGGGGACAGGGTTGAGCCAGTAAAACTGGGCAAGCCCATGTATTTGCTTGTGGCTTCTTCAGCTCTAGGGGTTGAATAAAGAGCTCGTGGAAATGGAAATCAGCAGACCTAGATTCTGGTCCTATTTTTTAGTTAACTCTGTGACCCCAGAATTGTCCTTGAATTCTCAGGAAGGTAAATTCCTAATGTGCATCCCCACTCCACCTCCTCTTCCTGCTTCCACCTCATTCCCTACATGAAACCAGAGTGATCTTTTCAAGACATAAGAACTGCTTTCAGCTTGGGGCGCCTGGGTAGCTCAGTGGTTGAGCGTCTGCCTTTGCTTGGGTTGTGAAAACGGGGTCCTGAGATTGAGTCCTGCATCAGGCTCCCTGCAAGGAGCCTCCTTCTCCCTCTGCCTATGTCTCTAGCTCTCTCTGTTTCTCATGAATAAATAAAATCTTAAAAATAAATTGCTTTCAGCTTAAAACCCTCCAAGGCTGCCATTCCACACAGGATAAAGACCAAAGCCTGAGCAGGGGTCACAAGACTCTGGATGAGTTAGTCCTCTCTTTTTCCCTCTGCCCCAGCCACACACCCTCCCCTACTTTTGCACTTCCACCCCCACTGGAAGGCTCTTCCCCATCCCATTTACCTACTTAATTCCTGTTCAATTTTCAGATTTTAGCTCAATGTTTATTCCAGTTACTGTTGCTGTGAACAATCACTCCAAAACTTTTTTTTAAGATTTTATTTATTTATTCATGAGAGACACAGATAGAGATAGAGAAGCAGAAACATAGATGGAGGGAAAAGCAGGCTCCGTATAGGAAGCCCAATGTGGAACTCGATCCTGGGACTCCAGGATCATGCAGACGTCCAACCACTGAGCCACCCAGGCATCCCCACTCCAAAACTTAAGAACTCAAGACAACAAACATTTATTTCACTAACAAATCTGCAGCTTGAGCCAGGCAAGTAAGGAAGGACTGTCTCTAGCACTACTACTGGGGCAGCTCGAAGGGTCCATTTCCAACAAGGTGAATCCACGTGGGTGGAAACTTGAAGTTGGCTGTCAGCTTGTGAGGTCAGCCAAAGCTGAGTCCCAGCAGCCATGATTCTTCTCCCTATGAGCTTCTTCATAAGCTGCCAGCTTCATCACAGCATAGCTATGGCTGGATGCTAACAGTGAGCATCCCAAGACATGAGAAGAAAAAGCTGCCAGTTCCTGGAGCCTGGGCCCAGAAAGGGGCATCACACCAATTTCTTTTGACATGTTCTATTAGCTCAGTCACTCACAAAACCAAAATTCCAGGGGAAAGGTGCATTTGGCCATCTCTCCCTGGGAAGAGAGTCAAAGAACTTGGGGCATGTGGTTCTGAATTGCCACAACTTCCTCCAAGAAGTATTCTCTGGCTCCCTTTCTGCCAAACTCCCTATTTTATGCTTTCAAAGAATCCTACACTCTTCCACTCAGCCTTATCACAACTGTGTGTTTGGTTACACCCATTTCTGCCCCTAGACTCTATCAGAAGGGAAAGGCTGGGTCTGTCTCATTCATGGCTATGTCCGCAGCCTCCAGCACAGAGATGTTCAATAAATCCAGGTAGACATGAATGAACCAGGGAACCCGTCAATGATTCAATCAATGAAGGTACTTAGACTGAGGCTCAGAAACTAAAAAAGTCCTAAGGGAATGCATATGAAGCATGAAGTAATAAGGCTAATGAGGAGGGAGAAGCCAGGGGTGCATGAGTCTTGGGCAACCCACTGAGAAGCCCACACCACATATAAAGCAGGCAGTGACCTTGCTCTTGGTCCCCGCCTGACTCTTGTAGCCAGAACACGGGCCCAGACAGCTTTCAAGTTTGCAGAGCCAAAACTTTTCCATTTTTATGTTAAATCTCCAAAATTTAAAATACAGACAATTGATCCAATTACACACATGGTAGACTTATTAAAATGTGTCTACATGGGGCACCAGGGTGGCTCAGTGGTTAAGCATCTGCCTTTGGCTCAGGTCGTGATCCCACATTGGCCTCCCTAATGAAGCAGGGAACCTACTTCTCCCTCTGCCTATGTCTCTGCCTCTCTTTCTTTGTCTCTCATGAGTAATAAATAAATATATTTACAAATATATATAAATATATAAATAAGTAAATAAAATCTTTTTAAAAATGTGTCTATGGGCTAGATACAGTCATGGGCAAAAGAATATATACCCTATGACTCAGGTATGCTAGAAAGAAAAAAAAAACTATTTTCTATAACTGAAATGACTTACTCCATGATGGTGGAGAAAAAAAATTAATATGGTATTCAATGTAACTTGTTCTGTTTCATTTTGAAACAGTCTTATTTAGGTAAACATCCAGTGGTTTCAAGGATGAAGTACCTATCTGGGTTATGTCTCTCTTCTCTAAGCAAGCCTCCTCTTCCCCTTGCCCAGATGGTGTCTCTACAGGGCAGAGCACTGGGCTCTGGTTTCCCATGGCAGCCTGCCTGGTGTCCATGGAGGTTATGACTAGTTTTGGCTCATCTTTGGGGGCACACCTGTGCCCGCTTCTACTAAAGTTTGAGATCCCCATATTTCATGGCTGATGTGACCAACCAATTAGACAGCAGTCAGTAGAATTGGATGGAACCTCTTTAAGGAAAGGACCAGAAATAGGAGCCACAAACTCCAGGCAGTTCTTTGGCTGTGTCTCATGCCTTCATTTCCACTTCTCATTGTCCCATGGCCAGGACCCCATGGCCAGGCTGGAGCCATCTTCCTCTCTCAAGCTAGGATTATTGCAATACCCTTAACTGGTCTCCTTGTCTCTGTCCTTGCCCTCCACCCTCATCATGATCATTTTCAAAACAGCAGCCAGAGGATCCTTTCTGAATACAAGTCAGACACATCTTCTCTCAGCTCAAAATCCTTTACTCTCATTTAGAGAAAAGGCCCAAATCCCCACAGTGGTCTGCAAGGCCCCTGTTCTCTCTCTACCCTCTCCCCCTCACTACCTGCTATCTTTGAAACACAGGCCCACCTCAGGACATTTGTACCTGCTGTTCCCTCTATCCAGAATGCACTGCCCAAAGATATCTGAATGACTCACTTCCTTATGTACTGCAGATTTTTTATCAAATGTCACCTTCTCAGTGACACCTCCCCTCATCACCCTATTTAAAATTGCAACTCCCAGCCTTCCCAGCCCTTCCACACACTCTCCCTGATTTTTACTTCCCCAGAGCATGTCTCACTACTTACTATAGCAGGGAAGGGGAGGTTAGCACTCTAGCCCAGGGGCCACATCCAGCCCCTAGGCCGGTTTTATAAATAAGAGGGTTTTAAAAAATATTTTATCCATTTTTTTCAGGAGAGACACATATAGAGGCAGAGACATAGGCAGAGGGAGAAGGGAGGGAGCCTGATGTGAGACTTGATCCCAGGGCTCTGGGATCACGACCTGAGCCAAAGGCAGCTGCTCAACCTAGGTGCCCCTACAAATAATTTTATTGGAACACTGCTATTTACGTATTGTTTCCATATGTCAATGGCGACACAGACTGCATGTCCGACAAAGTCATAAATATTTGCCTGGCCCTTTCAGAAAACATACCCCACCCCTAATATACATTAACATACCATGCCACTTCCCTGTTCATCTTGTTGATTTTCTTTGTCCTTCACTAGAATATGAGGTCCACGAGAGCAAGGGTTTTTATATGAACCGTTCACTGGCTGCATCTAGAAGCCTCATCTCTTGAGCCAGAATTATTGCCTGGTACATAGTAGGTGCCCAATCATATCTGCCAAATAAACTCTGGCAAGAGAAGAGGTGTTTAAAACTGCTGCTCCTTGCTCACTCTGTTTCTCTCTTTCTGCTTCTTCTCCAGCACATACGATGATGATGAGAAGGTAAAGAAGATGGGCACTGGAAATGTACTCCGCCCATTCATCCCCGTGCACAGCTGCATCCTCTCACCCTCGCTACCTGAGGCTCGCGTGTAAGTACTCCCTCCTCTGGCTCGTCTGCTTGCTAGCTTATCCATCGAAACCAAGGTGAAATGCCTCAAGGAGCTAACAATGCATTGGGAAATGTTGAGCTGCTCCTTTGTCCTCCTGAAAGGGACACAGAGCCTAGAGCTGGCAACGCTATTTGACGTGCAAAAATAACAGAAAGCAGACATGGTGCTTTAGAGCTAAGTGGCAAATCAGCTGGGACTGAGTCATTCTGTTCCTTACCAAGCCAGATACTCTAATGTCAAATAGTTTGCAAAGCCTGATAAAATCCGTCTGCAGCCTTCGCGGAGCATGTGCGACAATGTCTCAGCCTGGGCTCAGGGGACATGTTTTCCCCCAAAACTCGAGCTATTTCCCAGAGAAGCACCTGTTGTCTCCTGACCCAAGGCATGAACTCATTGCATGGTGTAATAGGGGCTAATCAACTCTCCAAAGAACACTCTGGTTTCCTCAAACTTTGGCATCTGGTTTCCCTTGTGTCTCTTCCAAAGAATTCCAAACCCAGTGTTTTCTTTTTTGCTAGTTAGCACTTTTCAACTAGAAGATTTCAGACATGAAGATAGAGGCTTTTGACTTTAGGGCAGGGTTTCTCAACCTTGACATTACTGATATTTGGGGATGAATAGTTTTTTGTTGTGAAGGACTGTCCTGTGTATTTTAAGGGATTTGGAAGCATCCCTCCACCCTAGATGCCAGTAGCACCCCCATCCCCAGCTGTGACAACCAAAAATGTTTCCAGACATTGACAAAGGGCCCCTGGGGGCAAAATCATGCCCACCCTCTTCACCTCCCATGTTAAGACTCACTGCTTTAGGACAATGAAAATGGTGCAATGGATTGTCGATTTCTCTGCCTAATGAGTGTCAAATATTTATTAGGTCCCTATGGTGTACAGAGTAATAATGGCATTACTGACTGCTCTATAGGCATATCTCATTCAGTTCTCTCAGCAGCCCTACTGTATAGGTATATTATCCCCTATCTGCAGATGAGAAAGCAGCAATCAGAGAGGTGTGCTCCCTCACCCAAGGTCACAGAGCTCAGCATGTTGCATGTTGCTGAGGGTTTTAAGCCAAGTCTATCTGATTGCACAGCCCAAACGCTCATCCCCACACACTACACAGAAAGTATATCCCAAAGCCTTGCCTTTGAGGAGCTCATGATATATTTGAAGAGCCACATTTCATGTACTTGGAAGAGTAAAACAATGCATCATCATCATCATCATAATCATCATCCTCATCAATATCCCTCCTTAATATGCCAGTTTTTGATTAGCCCACTCCCTACTTTCCTCCTACTCCCCTTTGATTGATATTACGATTGGATTTTTGATAGACTTATTTGTTCAGGGGCATTCAGACTGACAACTTAAACTTGATGTTCTTAAAACATCTCCTTGCAAAAATAGGCTTTGCAATTTCTCAACATGTCCCTTGGAAACACTTGCACTTCTGCCTGTCTCTCCGTGGACAAACCTTTTGAAACCAAACTGTGTAGATCAGCGGTTCTTAAGCTTTCACTTGTATATGAATCCTCCAGGGATGGAGGTGGGGATGATGCCTGGAAAATGTGTATTCCTGGGCCCCACCCCTCAATTCATTTGGTCTGAACAAATTGAGGTTTAAATCAGCCTTGGAAGTAATTGGAGATTTTTCTTATCTTCCTTCAATCCCAGATAAGGAAACTGAAGCCCAGAGAGGGGCAGAACCTGCCAAAATTCTTACAACAGGAATTCTGAACTCCTCACTCCTAAATCAGATCTTTACACAGGTTTGTTAGGTAGGCCAGGATGATGATGACGATGATGATGATGATGATGATCACAGTGATTATTGTTGGTATCTATTATACCCTAGACCAAGGGTCAAAAAAACTTTTTCCTAAAGGGACAGCCAGCAAATATTTTGACTTTGCAGGCCAGATGGTCTGTCTTCCAACAAACTTAACTTTGCCATTGCAGCATAAAAGCTGCAACAAATGGATATGGCAGTATTCCAATAAAGTTTTATTTGCAAATAGATGGTAGCTCCCACTGGCTATAGTTTGCTAATGCTGCCCTTTCTTCTTGGCTGTTAAAAGGTTCTTGCTGCATTTGGTGACTGTATCAGTAATTTATTGCTGTATTACTGAATACCTCACAATGGAGTTGCTTCAAACAATAACCATTTTTTTTTGTTGCTCACAAGTCTACAGGTCAGCTGAGTGGTTGTGCTGGTCTGGATTGGCTTGGCTAATCCGGGCTGGGTTTGTGCATGTGTGTGTGCCCAGATGATGGGTGAGTGCAAGGCTGGCCATCTATGATGGCCTCACTCACAGGTCTGTTGGTTGGCTGGTTGCTCGGGTGACAAGAGTAACTGGGCCACATGTTTCTCATCATGCAACAGGCTAACCAGGGCAGTTGGGAAGGGGTCCAAGAACAGGAGCCTGAGCACCAAAGTCTCTTGAGGTGTAGGCTCAGAATGGACACAAAGACACTTCCACCACATTCTATTGGCCCAGGCATCAAGCCATTCCAGATATAAGGAATGGAGAAAAGATTCTCCCTCTTGATGGGGAAAATGAAAAGTCACATTGCAAAGTGGGTGGATGCAGGGAAGGACGTTTTTGTAATTAGTCTACCCAAAGGCATCAGGGCAGAGCATGCCCGATCAGTTCTCAAATCCTGAGTTGTCACATTAGCCAATATAAATCAGAGCCTGGTCAATCCCTTTTATCCAAGGTAACTGATCCCCAAACTGGCTGAATTTTCTGAATTGACCATATGGAGATCAATTCAGTCATGTCAAGGGAGATTTCATCTTTATCTGTAAAAAGGTGAGGGGGATGGTCTCTAGAAATGAGAAACAGCTCCTCCTCCCCTCTCTGAGATGATGGGCTGCCCTCACAGCCCTCCATAAGCAACAGGAGCAGTGCCTGCAACCTGTCCAAGGCTGTCCTTGGCAGTAGGCATGGTGTGCCTGAAATGGCTTTGTAGGCATTTTCTGATTTCTCTTAGTAAAAGCACGAAACGTTTTCTTCTCCGGTATGTTTTCGCCCACTATTATGCAGGCTGGTATGGCAGTTTCAATAGAGTGAGCTACTCAGGTGTGCTCACCTCAAGTGATGATTTTAGAAGCAGGCTTTGCACACACACCCCTGTTCAGTGTTTTCGTCTATCATGCCACATCCTTAAGAAAATAAACGTCCACTCTTTTAATTCAGTAAAATCCAAAATACTGTGCTATGATCTGACATACAATCATTATGAGAAAATACTGATTTCTACTGAGCATGTTTCTGGATACTTTTTTTCTTTCTTCCCCCCGGCCCTGGTTTATTTTACCATACATTAGATGAACAGGTTCGAGGCACTTTTTTTTTCATTAAGACTATTATTTTTTTAGAGCATTCTTCGGCTCAGAGCAAAAGTGTGTAGAAGATACAGAGATTCCCATTACAACCCCTGCCCCATCTGTGCTCAGTCTCCCTCATGATTCAGCAACCCCCACCAAACGGTGCGGTTGTTACGACCAATAAACCTATGTTGACAACATCATTAAAGTCCATAGTTTACATGAGGGCCTCACTTGGAGTTGTGTGTTCTCTTTGGACAGATGTATAATGACATATATTCACCATCGTAGTGCATCCAGAATATTCTCACTGCCCTAAAGCCCTCTGTGCTCCACCTGTTCATCCCTCCCTCCCCACATGACCCTTAGCAACCACTGACCTTTTTACCATCTCTATAGTTTTGTCTTTTCAAGAATGCATACAGTGGAATCGCAAACTATGTAGCCTTTTTAGATTGGCTTCTTTCACTTAGCGATGTGCATTTAAAGTTCCTCCATGTCTTTTCATGGCTTCATAGCTCATTTCTTTTTAGCACTGAATACTCTATTGTTCTGGGTGTATGTACCACAGATTATTTATCCCTCCACCTACTAAAGGACATCTTGGTTATTTCCACATTTTGGCAATTATGAATAAAGCTGCTATCTGTAAATATCTTGTACAGGTGTTTGTGAGGCACTTTTTATAAATAGAGCCCAGACCCATTGGATGAAACTCTATTCTAGTGAAAAGGAGGGCTCTCCCTGGTAATAAGAAACAACATTAATACCAGAGATAAAGCACAGATTCAGAAACCAGGCTGCCTGGGCTAAGATTCAAGCTCTGCTTATTTGCTGGCTTTTTAAGATTTTGGACAAGTTACAGGGCCTCAGTTTTCTTATCTGCAAAGTGGGAAAACCAATAGTACTTTCCTCACAGGGATGACCTTAGTCAACATGTAGAACACTTAACACAGAGTCTGCTGTCACAGTGTAAATGTTCTGTGGGAAAAATTTACTATTATTATTTTGCTGTTATCACTACTCTTCATTATCTCAGTGGTTCTGCAAATGAGAATTTTGCCGAAGTTATCATCTCCAGAAAATGTCAGATTTGATCCAGTTCCCTACCACCACCTTCGATTCAGAAGCCAGTAACATACTGAGCCTACTCTGTGCCCAGCAGTAACCTGCAGTGGACAAGATTCCGTAGCTTGTGGGCTCCTGGACTAGAGACAAGTAAGCAGGTAGCTACAATAGAGTGAGAACTGGGAATGTAGGGGCAAAGAGATATGCTATAAAGATGGGATGCTTTAGAATGCTTGAAGAGAGCGTAACCCAGACCTGGAGAAATCAAGGAAGGCTTCCTGGTGGAGCTGACATCTGAGCTGGGAGGCAGAGAAGGAGGAGGAAGAGGAACATATATCAGAGCAGAGAACAGTCCCAACCACCTCTTGTCACCCTCACTAACAATTCCTGCCATTTTATAGATGAGGAAAGTGAGGCTCTGGGAAGTTAAGTAATTTGGCCAAGAACACATAGCTAGTAGGTGGCAAAGCTAGGATTTTAACTCAGGCAGTGCAAAGTTGAGAGGAAGGTGAGCCTAAGCAATGGAGTAGAATTTCCCCAGGCTACAGATGACAGAAGAGGGGCCATGTGGAGACTTGAGGCTGGCGAGGTGGATAGAAGTCTCAGGTCTCAGTGTGTTAGTTTGCCATAACAAAATTCTTCAACAGCAGAAATTCACTTTCTCATCATTCCAGAGGCTGGATGGATGTCCAAGATCGAGATGTCAGCAGGGTTGGTTTCTTCTGAGGCCTCCTTCTCCCTGTGTCTCACATGGTCTTTCCTTCTAGCATGGGCACCGTTAATGTCTCTCGTGTATCCAAATTTCCTCTTCTTATAGGAGGAACACCAGTCAGACCGGATTAGAGCCTACCCTAATTAGGGGGCCTCATTTTAACATAATCACCACTTCAAAGGCCTTATCTCCAAATATGGTCTCATTCTGAGGTCCCCAGGGGTTTAGAACTTTCACATATGAATTTTCAGGGGAACACAATTTAGCCCCAACCAGATGGTGTAGTTTGAAGATTTTGAGCAAGAGAGGGATCAAGTCAGGTTTATGCCTGTGTTTGTCACCTGCAGAAATGAATGTGATGCTTGCATGCCCCACATCCCCATCATCATGACCAAGCAGACCCCACCTCACCAATTAACTCCCTTTGCTGATCCCTTACTCCCAGTCTCCACCCTACACAACCCAAAGCCCAGGCTGGTAGGGGCTGTCTACAGTGAAGAGAAGAGGATACATCTCCCTGGGCCTTTTGCAATGTCCTGGGTTATGGTGAGACTAACGTGAGAAGCCAGGCACATGAAACAGCTTGCTGTTGCTCTTGGAGAATTGCTGGACATGGCCCAGTGCTCAGAGTTGCTGAAATGCACCTATGAGGACCACAGTGGTGCTAAGTGGGAAGAGAGACGAGAACTGGAAGGGCTATGGGCTTGCAGGACCTTTATATTAGAAATGAGGGAATAGCAGGTGTTAGAAAAAAATGTATAGGAAGAAAGGAGGAAGGAAGGGTTCCAGTGAAGAAGAAAGAGAGAGCAGCTTACCCTGGTTTTCCTAAGACCTGGTGGGCATAGCCACCTTGGAGGAAGTGAGGGGTGGGGTAGTAGGGGAAGTGCCCCTTCAAGCTGAGAGTAAGGGACACTTCTCAAGCGATTCACCGGGACATGCCTGGGTCAGCAACATCCTTGGGCCCCACCTTCTGAAGTGGGACCTTCCTGGAAGCAGAGAGGGAGGATCCCTTCCTGCCCCTCTGCACATCAGGCCCAGGAATCCTGGGGATTATTCATCAAGATCAACTTCAGAGAAGAGCAATTATACAGGTTCATAATGGAGGCATTTCACCCATTAGTGTAAGAGGAGAGATCATGCAGGGAGGGGGTGGCCGGTCGGCACTCCACCTTGCTTCCAGGAAAAACGCAGGCAGCAGGTTAACCCTCTCCTGACCTCACACCCTGGGCGACCAATGCATCGGCTTTGTCAGCACCTTGGACAGAGCCAGGGCCCGTAAAAGCACAACCTCTGGAGTTAAACAGAGAGGGCTTCAGATCACCAGTCCTAGGAGTATGACCTTGAGCAACTGCCTTAACCTGAGTGCCTCACCTGCAAAGAGGACATACTAACAGTACCCTCCCTATAGGGTTGTTGGGAGCCCTGAATGAGATATTCAGATCCCACTTCTGTCACCAACAAGCTGTGTGACCTATAGCAAAGTGACTATAGTTCTCTGAGCCTCTTTAGACAATGATTCATACCCCCGCAGGTTGTTGGGAGAATGAAATGAAGTGTATAAGGTGCCCTAGTCAATGCCTGGCTCGCTGTAATATGAGATGCCACTCCAAATCAGAAAATACAGGTTAGATATGCTTTTATACAGTGTTTTAGTTACATTTTCAAATAATATGTTCAATGTGGTTTTCTTCAACATCCAGCTACATTTTCTGGCAAATGACCTATAAATTTAAAACAATGGGTCCAACTGTTAGTCTGGGGGGAGGAGGAAGATTACAATAAATCCAGTTTCCTGGTGTTTCCAGCATTCTTTGACATTCTTAGTACATTTATTGTACTTTTATCAGATGAACAAATTGATACTTGTAGAAAACGAATGTTCTTCAACCCACTCATTTGCCTGAGTCAAGACCTCTAGCTGTGAGACCCCTCCATTGTTTCTCCCTTCCTACATGGAAACCGGCATACGGTCATGTTGTGTCAAATCGTGGCTCTGCCACCTGCTAGGTCAGCAACCTGGCACAAGTTCCTTCACTCCTCTGAGCCTCAGATTCCTCATCTGTAACATGGATCCATGAACAGCTCATGAGCCCACTGCAAAGGCTCGATGAGATGAGGAATGGGAAATACCATACCTGAAGCATGGCAATAGCTCACTAACTGGAAACCAGTACAACTGTCTCTGTGGCCATTATTGTGAAGGACGTAGTTCCACAGGATCTCACTGTGCTTCCCCCCGCCCCCCGCCGTCCCTCTGTCTTTGCAGGGAGCCCCTCTTCCGCCAGCTCTGTGCCCTCCATTGGCTTCTGGAGGCCCTGACTATCGACCGCACCCGCCACACCATGAAGCCTGTGATCGCCTGCTGGGATCCAAAGTAGGTCTCAGCCCTTCAACCCACCATAACCAGCAGCAGACTGTGTCATAGGGGAGGGCCTCCTATCTGTTTTTCCCCCCCTTTTGCTATTTTTGGAGGGTGGGTTGCTTTAGGAGTTCTCTGATCCAGACAGGGGTGAGCTTGAAGCCAGGGCATACAGGTTATATAGGCTCAGGAGAGCCAACAGTGTGCATCTCCTCCCAGCAGCTCTCCCCAGCCCCACATTCAGTGACCTCACACTAGATGTTTGGAATCAACCAGCTATGGTGGGAGTATTGACACCACAGGAACTGATCAGCTAGACCAGTACGCCACTGTGTGCCCAGCGAGGTTACTCCCCAGGTCCCTTCATAGACCTTGTCTCCTCAACACTATTCTTTATTTGCTCCTCTTCAGTTTTCTCCTCTCATTTCCTGTCCTCTTCCTTCTCACTTTCTTCTTGCTTTTCTTCTTTCTCTCAAGGTTTGTTTGTTTGAACATATATTGGTGGCTGTTTCTCCACTTGGACCCAATACTCAGTGCTCAGGTCCCTGGAATGGCACATTTTGCTCCAGGCCAAGAAAAATTTTAGGTGTGTCTTCATCAGAGGGGAAGCCTCATGCAAAAGCCCCGAGGCCACTGTTGCAGGAACCACATTGCACACACAAGGTGGAAGGAGGAACAAGCAGGTACATAAGACATTGGTTCCTTATGGAGAGTCATTCTTCTTCCAAGAATGGGGCTAAAAGGAAGGGACCCTGACCTAAGGAACTGGATTTGCTCTGTGAAAATACCATGCTGAGTGAAGTAAAATCATTCCCCTTCCCTCATAGGTGGGAACCTCCCACCCCCACCCTAATAAACTGATATGGCCTCTTTCTCACAGCCCTGCCCAGCCCCCAACTGAATTCAGTCTTCCTTCTCTTCCTGAACCATAATTAATTCCTTCCTCCTGAAAGTGTTTACCACCCTACCCCCTGCCCTAATTCATCCCTTGCACTGGAGCCCAGATAAACTAACATCAACCAGAAACTCCTGCATCTATTGACAGGCTGGTAACTCCAGCTGATTCCACGGTTTGGGTTGGGATGAATTGAAAACTGTAGCTTCCCTTGGTGCTCTGGTTTATAATTTTATTTTTTAAGCAGCAGAAATCTTTTATTTTTAATGGAAACCCCAATAATGTAAAACAAATTTGTCAAAATGGAGCTTCTACACAAAGCAGGAGGTTGGGAGGCCTGGGGACCTGGGGCCCCTCCAACTCTCTCCTATCCCCATCAAGGCACCCCAGTTATTTCCAAATATCTCTGTGGTTCACAGAATTTGTTTGAAAACCAAAGCCTTAACACATTTCCCACATATTATTTATTTTTCCTAGAGGAATCCCTTTTAAAAGTCTGAGGTATGTCCTTCCTCCTTCCAGACCTTTCTATTGCCTTCCCCTTATGAATATATATAGATAAAACCCATCTTTTTTTTTTAACAGAAATGCGATCACACTCTGAATATTGTATATTTTTCTACTTTTTCCCCTTTAAAATATCTTATAGGGCGCCTGGGTAGCTCAGTCAGTTAAGTGTCCAACTCTTGATTTCAGTTCAGATCATGATCTTGGGGTCATGAGATGGAGCCCTGCATCAGGTTCCACACTCAGCAGGGAGTCTGCTTAAGATTCTCTCTCTCTCCTTCTGCCTCTCTCCCCATTTGTGCTCTCTTTATCTTTATAAAATCAATAAATAAATCTTTAAAATAAAAGAAAATATGGACATCTTTCCATAATGGTATGTGCAAAGTTTTCTACATTCTTTTGACAGTTTCCACCATCCTTTACCAGAATACCATCCCTCATAAAGAAGTGGTTATCAATGGTTTATAGTATGGGTGCACCAAAATTTAGATAACCATTTCTCCACTGAGGGACACTAAGGTTGTTCTCAAGTGTTTGCCATTTCAAACAGTAGTGCATGGAACATCCTTGCACATATGTTTTGTACCCAGTTGAAATATTTCTGTTGGCTAGATTCTGAGAAGTGGAATTTCTGGGTCAAGGCAACATCTAATTTTTTTCAGTTGATTGCTTAGATTTAAAAAAAAAGTCCTTCAGCCAGTGAACTTCTAATAGCATTTCATCTCCCCAAGCTACCAGCAGCCACTTTTGTCTCCAACATTTGAGCATCCATTCTCCCAAACTGAGGCAAGACTATAATGTAGGATTTGGATTGAGAAGATAAAAAGAAGCATCTTTATTTCTTTTGCTTGGTTTTAGAAATGTGCCAAGACAATGTGACCAAAAATTGTTACCTGTGGTAAAAAAAAAAAAAAAAAAAAAAAAAAAAAAAAAGACATAGTGGTCACATTGGGAGTAGTGGAGGTTCTACCCATGACTTGCTAGGCAGAGTTCCATCAGGGATCCATAGATATCCAGCTCTATCAGAGCAGAATATAGACCAGAACTTCAACCTGACAGAAAAATGCATCCAGAAATATTCCCATGGGAAGTCAGAGTATTTGTTGGGGCTTGTTTTTTCTAGCAAACCATTTGCTCCTGGTGGTGATTTTAGTTTGGCGGTATGCTGATAATGTTTAATAAACATTTCATAAACAGAACAGTTCTCCAAGAAGGAAGAGCCATGATATATAACAATGCCAATTTCCATGGTGGACATAGTCCAGCCATGGCTCATTTCAGGCTTATCAACATGATGTCATTGGACCTGGGGCTAGGAACAGATGTACATGTTCAGTTCTTGTGAGCCAGCATAAGCCAACTCCAGCACACCATTTTGATTTTTTTTTAAATATATAAATCTAGGGGTGGGGGCTGGGCAGAGGCTTAGGTTTCCTAGAAAGTGACAAAAAGCATCTTTTTAGTTAGCATGAAAGGAGAAGGATGTCTTGTCTTTAATGTCTAATATTTATGATGTTTCATCCTGATGCCATAATTCAAATTTCTCTAAATCTTCAAATGCATTTTTTAAAGCCCAGAGGAATTGAGAGTGAGTAAGAGCAAGGGCTTTAGCATCAGATGGACTGGATGAGTCCAGGCTCTGCCACTTAATAGCTATGTGACCTTGGTCACTTAACATCTCTGGGCTTTGGTTTCTTCATCCATCATATAGGCTCCTGCCTCAGAAGAGTTATTGTGAGCATCAAGAAGATAAAGAACATAGAGCACTTAGCCCAGTGACTGAGAGCACTGTGAGGGTTCACTGAACGGTAGTTATTCAAGATTAAAATCCCCATTTCAAAGAGCAGTTGGCTCTATGATTATCAATGCCATTGAGACTTAAGGCAGGGAAAGAAAGAAATTTCTGAGCAGAGTTTTACCAACAGATGAGATCCATGTTCACTGGGAAAAACGGACAGGAAAAAAGCTAAGCAAGGTCAACCAAAATTTGGTTGCAAAGATAAACAATCCAAGGAATGACTCTAAAAGAGAATTCCCAAATCTTCAGTTCTCCTGACGGTGCTTTCTTTTCTGAGTTTCCATCATCAAGCAGCCAGCATCTCCTGCTACTCAAGCATCTGAAACACTAAACATGAGCTCCGACAACTATGCATTTTCCAAAAGGAAACATCCATCATCGGGGATCTGTAGATCCCAGAGTTTTTTCTTCTACTAGGCATGATGATGGCTGCAGATCCAACCTACCCCCTTATGGATTTTATAACAAGAAAGTAGAGGTGGTTCAATATCTCAACATGGGCTTCCTACAGGCAGCAAAATTTTACTAACTGCCAGCTAGCATACTGCAAGCAGAAGACGATCTTTGTTAATTGCAGGAAGATCCCATATTTGGCTAGAACAGGTGGATGGTTGGGTGAATGGACAGATGACAGATTTTAGGGTGTCATTAGGAGATGCCTCTGAGTCTGTGCTTTACTTGGGGTGGGGAGGGAGGCCTTCCCCATTTCATCATGTGGCAATTCAAACACATTATCATTTCCCAGCATCCTCTTGAATCCCACAGCTAGCAAGGAGAGTTTATTTCAATTGACAAGATAATCGGGTCCATGAGGGAGCAGAAACTGAGCTTTCAATAACAAGTGTCCTAATTATCCTTTTCTGAAAGATGCAAGCCTCTGTTTCAGCAAAGTAAGACTTATTATATATATAAAGGCACCCAAGTCTTTATCCAAACCTTTGGGACTAGTTAGGTTTCAGAATTGCTTTCTTTTTTTTCTTTTTTTTTGGCATTTTAGAAAGGAAATATGGGGCATACACCATAGAAAACAACCCCCAGAGAGGACGGGGCAGCAGACTATCATTCAACACAGTATTCCTGCAGAAAAAAAAAAAAAAGAAGGAATATTTACACTAAGTGCACCATAAAGATAAATAACAGTCATCCATAGCCCCCCATCAGTTCAGGTCATGTTTTGCCGTCAAATAAGTTATTAAAATTTTTTCTGGTTTTCAATACCCTTTGGATTTTGGAATTTGATAAGGGGTTATGAACTTGTATTGGTATTTTTTTTAAGAGATTAACTTTCCAAGGAGTGACTAGAAATGAATGGGCCGTTATAAGAGAAGCAGACAAGGTGACGTGTGAGCAAGCACTACAAACCTTTGTGCCACTTCTCATCCCTAATTCCACTCACTCCCAGCCCCTGCTGCCATCTTCCCTAGTTCCCATGAGAAAGAATGGGACAGACCCCTGGGCAGCCAGGAGAGGAAAGAATTCCTGCAGTTGAGCCTCATTCTAACAAAAGAGTAAACTGAGGCACAGAAAACTTAAGTAACTTGCTGAGAATTGCATAGCCAGTAAAAGCTAAATCAGAATTGGAATTCAGGTAGCCCAGCTGCAAAGCACGTGTGCTTAACCACTAGATGATGGTTGCCTCTGTTCCTAGCAAAAGCCCAAAAGTCTTCAATTAATTTAGGGTACAATCTGGTGTCGGAAAAACAAAAAGAAAAACTCATCACAAAGTAATATTTGCCAGGGGACCCCAGGATACAAAAAAGGACTGTAACTTACCAAGATAGTACGATATGTACATATAGAATTTCCTTTTAAAAAGCAACAGAAGAGGCCATTGTATACTTACTGCGTTCATATTTAACTTAATATATGGGAACCAAATCTCCATATCAAAACCTCTTTCAGGGATCCCTGGGTGGCGCAGTGGTTTGGTGCCTGCCTTTGGCCCAGGGCGCAATCCTGGAGACCCGGGATCGAATCCCATGTCGGGCTCCCGGTGCATGGAGCCTGCTTCCCGGTGCATGGAGCCTGCTTCTCCCTCTCCCTCTGCCTATGTCTCTGCCTCTCTCTCTCTCTCTCTGTGACTATCATAAATAAATAAAATTTAAAAAAAACATTTAAAAAAAAACCTCTTTCAATGGCTGTGGAGTTTATTGTCATATTTAACCAATTCCTGTAGGAACTTTAATTTGCCAGATTTCAGTCTTGGGGTGGGGGGAATGCAGCATCATTTCAAACAACACGCAAAATAGCAGTCATTATATTTAAGCTGGGTTTTGCCCCTGTCATGTGCACCCCTCACCCTGGAAACTCTCATTTTCCTTAAACCTGTTTTTTTTCAGGCATTACTGGGGATACAGCAGTGAAGGGAACAGACACCATCCTTGTTCTCTGGAGCTTTGGGTTCCGGGGGATGTGGGGGGAGTGGCAGATAGTAGACATGCAGTCATCAAGATGCTTTGAGATAGCACCAAGCACTGTGAAGCAATTGAGGGGGTGATACAACAGTGGCAGGTGTGGGGTGACTTTTATGTCAGACCGTCCGGGAAAGATGCAAGAGGTGACATGTGAGTGAAATCTCTGAATCTACCCACTCTCTCTGCATTGATTTAATTGCATCATGCCTCCATGGCTTTACTCAAAAGGACATCGCTGCAGGAGTGAGGGATCCTGGCAGGATGATCACAGCACCTGTCAGGAGGGAGGCAATTGGCCAGGGAGCTCCTGGGAGCTCTGCTCTCTGTCCCCTCCCTGGTGCACCATCACGGGCTACCTCTGTCCTCCACACTCAGTCACGGACACATGAACGCATTCCAAACCAGCCGACAGACTTTCCACTCTTGAGAACAGGTGTTTTGCCCCAAATAAGGATTTGCCAAGAAAGAGGGAAGTATTGGAGAAGATGACTCTGAGTGCTCCTGGGCACAGACTATTTCAAGCAATTCGCCAGGAACAAAAAAATGTGCTTGGCAGGTACAGTTCAATGAGATGCAACGGTGCTCTGCTTTCGTCCCTTGACTTCTAGCAACTAGGATCCTCCTCCCCACCCCTGCCCCAAAGTTTCAGCAGGGGAAAAAATGGTCTGAGAGTCACTTCCCCACGGTTCTGCCCTCGTTCCTTGTCCCCCACCATCAGCCCCTCCTCCAAGCCACACTAAGCTCTCTGTGTTCAGTTCTCTGTACAAGGCACCCTGTCAAGCCCTTAACAGGCCCGGCTGCATCCTCACACCAAGCCTCTGACATAACTAATATTATTCCTGCCATTTTACAGATGTGGGCACCGAGGCTCCGAGAGCCTAAGTAACTTACACAAACACACACCTAGAAAGCAGCAGTGCAGGCAGGGGACTCCAACATCCAGTCCACTCGATTCTCTCAGCCCCCTGTGGACCAAGAAACTCAGGTGGTTTATTTCTCTTCCTGCCCCTATCTGAGTTTCCTTTTTGGCTTATTTGCTAGTGAGAATGAAACATCAGAGAAGGGTCTAACCAGGCCCTTTCTTTATCAGTGGCTTTGCGTGGGCAAGGGTGCAGGGCTTTTTTTTTTTTTTTTTTTTTTTAGATCTCTGGGAGCTTTGCTGTATTTTTAGCTCATTTACCTGCTGCCTCATGTCGCAATAGATTTCAGGTCATCTTGGAAGTCAGTGTTAACAGAAAACTTCCATCTCTCCAATCGGGCTTGAATATTTAAGATTTTGAAAGCTTGGTTGGGACCAGATTTAATTTTAAAAGGGGAAAGGGGTTGCTTTTGAACTTCAAGAAGAAGGCTGCAGGCACAGCAGGAGCTGAGTTAGCAAAGGGAAGAAGCCTAAAAACCCTGTGGTCTTGAAAGAAATGCTCCAAAGCAGAACCTCTAAAGCTTCCAGTTGGCGAGCCTTAAATCAGACTTCAAAAGCGCCGCTAGTTTAAATATTGTTTATAGGACTGGTGTGTTGCTATTCCTTCCCCTGGCTGGATTTTAAATATTCCCTAATTTGATTACTCGGGGGAGAAGCAGGCAGAACAAACGTTAAATGAGCTTCACTGTTAATTATTCAGAGGGCTTTTTATTGTGTAATCAAACATAAAGTCTTACAAAAAGCTTGGAGGCGGAGTCTCACCCCGCCCTCCCCAGCCCGACTTCCACCCTGGCACCTGTATGTGTTGCTTGCATTGTGGCTGTGGGCTGGTAGATGCTCAGCAAAGTCCTGCCATCAAAGAGTGCACGCCCTCCTCTAGGTCTCGGCTGGTAAAAGCCTCTGATTCTGCTACCTAGAGCCCTGTGCCATGAGAAGCCAGTCTTAGGCAAGTTAGAGCTTGACCACCTTTTACCACCTGCTGAGTATCTCCCACTCCTCCACCAGCAGCCCCTGATAAGTCTAGACCCCTGTCAATGCCTCCCCTCATCAACCTGATCTGGCCATCTCATTCCCTCAAGTCCCTGCTCTGTGCCAAATGATTTTAAGAGTCCCAACCATCCAAAATCCTTTCTGCAGAGAAAAAGGAGATAAAGAAAGGGATAGATGGATGGATCAATCGATTGACCGATAGGTAGGTAGAGGGAGTTGAAAGAGCACACACTGAGTCTTTTTCTGCTTATCAGCAAGATCCACTGCCCTGTAGCCCCAAGTTCAAAATCCAAAAGGCTCTGAAAATTCAATTTTTCTATAACTCATTTAGCAGCAAAACTTGACATATGAATCAAACCAATTTGGTGGCAAAATTTGACCTGAAGCTAATTACGATCTTTATCCCACCTGGTGTAAATATTCATATATATCAGTACAGGAATAAGGAATATTAATGTGTTTGGTTACAGGGTGCTGGCCCTGAATCCACTGGAGGGATTATGTTAACATATGGTATATGCAGCATATATCCTTCCCCAAATCCCTACATGGTAACACATCTGGTCCCACGGGTTTAGATGAGGGATGATAGGCATGTCACCCACAAAATCTGCTGGAGGTTCAGTCTCATAGTGAGAAGGTTCCCAACCCAAGAAGGGAGGGATCTAGGTTTTAGGGGATTTGAAGTTTAACTAATTGGGGGAGGGAAGCACTTTAAGAAAAAGAATATAAAATTACAACAGAAAATCAGGTACAGGGTTCCCAGAAGAACCCATTCAAGTGAGGGTCGTTTGTTTCACTGTAAATCTGCATCTGGGTGAGTGACTTGAGCTTTCCCCTCCCCACCTCCCCCAGTTTGTTTTCTCATCTGTAAAGGGATGACAAAATCACATGATTTTGTGGAGATGATTCAGTGAGAATGCACGAAAGCATCTTGCATGTAAGCATCTTATAGACTTTTGCTCCACACACTCCAAACCAGTGATTTTTTATTGTGCAACCTACCCCACAAGCTCTCCCCAGTCCCACCCAGTAATCCTCTCTGTGTTACTTGGGATAGGATTGTTAGGCAGCAGAGCAGGCAAAGATTCACAAACGAACACGCTTTTCAGTTTACTCCCAGAAGTAACTGCCCTGGAGTAGACTTGCCCTGGAGTCTAAGAGAGGACCCAATCCAAAAGGCAAATAGATGCAGAACACACACAAATACATTCCACCTCCCTCACCCCCACCTTGTAAGCAGTGGTCTCTCCTAACCTCAATTTTCACTGACAAGACCCAGTTACAGAAAACTGTCCCTCTCACTTTTTCACACATACAGGGGGTGGGGAAAAAAAAACATAACAGAGAACAGCCACCATCCATCATCTATTTATTGCATTTCCTAAAAGAACTTGTAGTAAAACGAGGCTCTGGGAATGGAAAACTCATTAAGCTGTTTCTCACTCAGGGACCCGGGTGGAAGCAAGACTACAATAAAGAAAATCAATAAGGACAAGTCCATAGAACAGAAGTGGGAGCACTTCGTCACAGCGCCTAAGGTAACTGTCGGCACGTGCACGACGCTACCGCCCAACTACTGGCCCCAACTTGTGTCAGAGGCGTTTTTTTGCTGGTCTCTTCTCTGATGGGATTTTTTTTTCCAGTTGGTTCTCTGAGTGAAGGGAAGTCAGAACCACATGCTGTTGGATGGTTTTTGTGAATTTTAATTAAAATGGTCATCTGGGGATTATAGGAGAAATGACATTTGGCTGGACAACACTTCACGGGGAAGGGGAGGGATGGCTGCAGAGCTGCTCAATAAGATGTCACCAGAAGAAGATGGACTTACCTCACTCCACGGTTTTAATCAATAACAGTCATTTCTCTCTCTCTCTCTGTCTGTCTCTCTCTCTCTCTCTCAAACTCAACCAGAAAATAAGAAGTGGGTGATTCAACAGATAGGGTGTTCTATGAACTAGAATGCACATTTCGTACAAAGAGAACATCAAGAGATCTATTCTTTTCACTCAGAACTATTTCCAGCCCCAGACTTCCTGGATTCATCTACCCAACAAGCACCATAAAATAATAATGACAAGAGGTCATGTTTAGGGGCACCTGGGTGGCTCAGTTGGTTAAGCGCCTGCCTTTCACTAAGGTCATGATCCCAGGGTCCTGAGATCGAGCCCTGAGTAGGGCTCTCTGCCTAACAGGAGTCTGCTTCTCCTCCTTCTGCTTCCCCCCTCCCTCTGTGCTCTCTCTCTCTCAAATATATTTTTTAAATGAGGTCATGTTTAGATAGGCAAAAGTAGTTGAAAGAGCAGTTTGCTGTACCTGTGCTCTTACCCACAACAGGAGTATAATGCTCGTCCCTGCTGACCTCACAACATTAGTAAAGAACCTCAAGAAACAACACTTTGAAGATGTTAAAATGCTGAGCATTATTGTGGTTACATAATTTTTAGAAGCCACTTTTTAACATAATTGTAATGGGCCAGGTTCTATGCTAAGGAAGTGCTTTGGATCTATTAGCCAGCTCTGCCTTCCTACTAACCCCAGGAGGCACTATCCTAATCACCAGTTGGGAAAGGAGGAAGTTGGGGCTCAGAGAGGTTAAGTGATTTGTATAAGGTTGCACAGCTGGGTAATGGCAGAGCCAATAGTTAAAACCTGGGTCTGCTCATTAAACAGTGAGTTTGTCGAATGCATGTTCTCCATGGTGTCCCAATTATAATTGCCCTCACGAAGAGTTTCACCATTTTCTTGCTCTTTCATCAGGGTGTGCCTAGATCTGAGAAATGCCTCTTTTTTTGACACAGAAAGTTGCTATGGAGATATTGTGTGCATCTGTCTCCAGAGATGCATAGAAAAAAGCAGCAGGAGCCACAAACCTTTAAAAAAAAAAAGTCCTTCAGGAATTTTCATAACAAAAATCGAAAGAGGGGACAGTGAATCACCACACTGGAACTCACATAAAATTGAATTCTCCAGGAAGCTTGCAGATCAAACTCTGGGCTGAAGTGTGGTACACTCTGATGAAGGGGGAGCACTAGATGAGAGTCAGGAGACCTAGCTTAGCCACTGTGACCCAGTTCACTATGTGGCTTCAGACAAGTCATCTTCTCTCTCCCGACTTCAGTTTCTGAACCTGCAAAGTGAGCACTTTGAGAGGCTCCAATCAACTCCCCACAGCAACTGGTATTCTTCTGTCTGTTTAGGGCTTGTCAATGCCAAGACAGTGTTCATAAGAGCCAGGCCAACCAAGTAAATTAAAAAAAAAAAATCAATTTGGGTCTAATGCAGCAGGGAGTGGTGAGGTCTGTGGCAAGTGGGGGAACGACTGCTCAGCCGAAGGGAAGAACCCCTGCCCAGCTTTTGCCATTTTGCCATGCGAGTATGGGAGTCCAGGGCTTATCATTCGCAAGAGAGACCAATAACCGAGGTTGTTATATATAAATCTCCCCAATTTGTAAAATTCTGGGCAGTTAATCATGTCTCCCCATGGGCCACCACTTTGAAACCATTGTTTCTAAAAAAGTGTAAGGAATCATTCAGGGAAATCTTTTCCTTTGTTGCCAAAAAAGCAGTCCCTACTCAGGTGGAACACAGCAGCTGGTTAACACTGCTCCTGAGTGAAATATAAAAAATAGAGAATAAGCATTTGGGGGTTTAAGTCAATTCAGACAGAGTCAGTTCAATAAAGGGCAAGCAAGATGCTAAAACTGCCTGTCACATCGTCCCCCCCCCCCCCACATTTTATTTTTCCGCCACTCTCAATTAATCAGAAGTGTCAGTCCTCCACTTTGGATTTCCTGGCTGAGGTTGTTAATTGAATTTTAATTAATGGCAACTTTAGGAGCACAAAATGAAATCCTAGCACAAGGAAGACCCACACAGAGCTCTGGGTATAGAAAGCTCTCCTGAGACCATCCCAGTCCATCCTCTTTGTTCTATTGATCAGGAAACTGAAGCAAGATGGTGACTTGCTCAAGGCCCCTCTGAGGAACCCTGGCTCCAAGTCCAGTTCTTATTACAAGACTCCTGAGTGTACTCCTGGGACACAATGTGTCCAGCATTCAAAAATGACATGTATCTGAAGAGTCTGGTTTCCAGAGTCAGGAATTCATATAGTGCCAGAGGAGACCATATGATGCAACTTCTACATGTATTGTCCCTAGCTGCAATGTTGGGACAAAGGGAACACTGTATTGAGCTCCTGATTTATTGGAGAGAACATGCCAACTTTGGGCATTTGCTTTTTCTTTATCACAGTCATTCTGTAGCCCACATGCCCCCATGTGGATCTGGGTAAACACACCCTCTCCTTCCCCTGTGCAACAAGGAAACCCCTCTCCAATTCCAGAGGACCGAAGTTCTACCTACAGTTACAGCCCCACATGATAACCAATCAAAAAACTACTTGTAGGGGTGCCTGGGTGGCTCAGTTCGTTAAGCATCTGACTTTGGCTCAGATCATGATCTCAGGGTCCCGAGATCGAGCCCTAGGTTGAGCTCATTGGAGAGTCTGCTCTCTCTCCCTCTGCCCCTCCCCCTGCTTGTGCTCACTCTCTCTCAAATAAAATAAAAAATATTTTAAAACAAATAAACAAAAAACCCCACTTCTGACCACATTCAGTGGATTCCATAATATGAATCCTGCTGGAGACAACTTTTTGCACCTTGATAGTTATTTATTAAATGTAATAATACCGGGCAGCCCCGGTGGCTCAGTGGTTTAGTGCTGCCTTCGGCCCAGGGTGTGGTCCTGGAGACCCGGGATCGAGTCCCACGTCGGGCTCCCTGCATGGAGCCTGCTTCTCTCTCTCTCTCTCTCTCTCCTCTCTCTCTCTGTATCTTTAATAAATAAAAATTCTTTTAAAAAAATAAATGTTGGTGTGGCCTCTGGTCCTATCTCTTCTCCCTACCTGCTTTCTGAGGGTATCAAATACTATGAGTTTGATTGAAAGGTGACATCAGTCTGCCTTGCAAGAGCTTTCCTTTTAAATGTTCTCAAATAAAATTGTTGCCATTAATTGAATGTAAACTATAGTCCAAGGCACAATTGAGCTCTTACTCTGGAGCAGCTGAGGACCTACTCTGCCCCACTGCAAACCTGGTATTTTAAAAGTTATAAAGAATCATCAGCATGGGATCAAGGGCATTTTCAATGTGCAAAGTAGAAACCCTCTGGAAGATCAGGATCATGAGTTAAATGAAGACATGACTGCACAGTACATTCTGAAGTGATACCAATCATGGGAGAGGGTGGTATACACACACACACACACACACACACACACACACACACATCCTCTCTGACTCCTTTCCTCTCAAAAGTCCACATTCTCCTTACAGGACTTTATCTACCCCTTACTACTTTCTAGGACTTGTCATCTACATCCTTCCATCTGCCACAACCATCACAACCATGGCTCCTCTTCCCACCAAAGAGTGCTGCCCCATCAGACAAATCTTCTTCCCCCATATTCCATCACCTGAATGTCAGGTCTAGAATTTCCTCCATCTTGTACTCTTCAGGAGACCCCAATAAACACAAATTGTCATGCTTTGAAGGCCTGGTGTCAACTTGGTGAACAAGAAGCTGATCTATACAGTTTGGGGTCAAACCAAGAGGTAGGGAAAGAAATGAGACCTATCCTCTCACATTTTAAAAATCAACTCCAATTATTATTACAAAAGAATAGTCAAAAACGCTTCTAGTCCCTGGTAACATCATTGAAATACAGTTTGGCCTCCTGTGGTGATGACTTAGGCAAACACAGTGCTCACTGAATAGAGTAAGTCCCGTCACGTTTGCTTCAAATAGTAAGGAGTTTAAATTATATCAATCTGTGACAGAAGGTCACCCCAGACCCAGAACATGTGTCATGTTGTTTAGGAAGAGCCAAAAGAAATTCACATTCAGAGCCAGGTTTTTTTTTTTTTTTCTTATTTATTTTCCTTCCCTCCCTCCCTCCCTCCTCTCCTTCCCTGTCTCCTTTCTTCCCTCTTTCCTTTAGTCATCTCTCTCTCTTCTCCCCTCTCCCTTCTATCCACCCTCCTTCCTCCTCTCCTTCCTTTAATCATTCTGTCCTCCCTCCCTTCTTTCTGAAATCTCTCTTTCTTCTCTCTTTCCTTCAGACCAAGAAACCTCCTGTACTACGTGTCACCAGCGGCAAACCAAGCTGGCGCGGTTGCACACTCAGTCTGTCTCGGACCAGTGGGGGATCATCCCCCCAGAGCAGCATGGTCTCCATGAACCCTGGCTCAGATGAACTCCTGAGTGTGATCACCCAGGCAACAGGCAGCAAGGACATTGAGGACAATGATTCCTTTTCAACCAAGCCTGACGAAGAACTTCTCCATATCAGTAAGTCCTACCTGAGATCTGACCAATCTGCCTTGACTCTTTGCTTCAAAGCCAGACATCAAGAACCCCTCCTGCTCCATCTCCAGCCTTACTCAGTTAAAGGAGACACAGGGGTCCCCTAGCCCTGTTCAATTTCCTTGGTCTCATTTGCTTTCCCCCAGTGAAGATCAGAAATATACTTTATAACTTAGATTACTCTGAGCAATTTCTCTTGGAGAGACAGCTCATGGTCATCGATTGCTCTTTTTAAAATGTTAATAATATATTTTATTCAGCCCAACCTACATAAAATATTGCCATTTCAGCATGTAATCAATATAAAATTATTAATGAGATATTTAATATCTTTTTTCACACTAAGTTTTTGAAATTTGGTATTGACTTTTTAAAACAACTTTATGGAGGTATAACTTGCATACCATAAAATTCATTCTTTTTAAGTGTATAATTCAACAACTGTTAAGTCAGTTTACAGAGTTGTGTAATTATCACCACAATCTAATTTTTGAACATTTCAATCGAACCAAAAGAAAACCTTTATCCATTGGTAGTCCCTCTCCTTTGCCACCCCTGGCCCCAGGAAACTGTAAATCTACTTTCTGTCTCTAAGGATTTGTCTTTTCCTAGTATTTTCTATATGGAAGTTGTATCACCCTGTGACACCATCACCCCTGCCCCTGCTCTGGAACAAGCCTTTTCAGTGGTTCCCAATGTGTGGGACACAGGTTCTTCAGAAAATCTCTTAAAAGCTATGGGTCCTCCCCACAGAAGAAAATTTATACACAGTTTTTCATAAGTGTCCCCTCAGTGGTGCCCAAGCTGAGGTCTGCCTTCTTAGCCAGGGCTCTTTCACATACCTAGAATGCCAAGGCTGGGTTGAGCTCAGTTGAGAAGGATTGAGTGTGATACAGATTCAAGGAAGTCAAACAAGAGGTCAAGGTAGACCAGAAAGCCTGATTGAGGCCTGAATCATTGAAACTAAAAATGAGTGAAAGGGCAAAATTCCAGCTAAGTGGTCAGGACTCAGAGCATTATCTACCAATGAGAAAAAAAATCCCACTCTTGTCAACAGGGAGCCATGAAAGGCTCTGCACCCTGAAACACTTTTTTTTTTTTAAGATTCTGTTTATTCATTCATAGAGACACACAGAGAGAGAGGCAGAGACACAGGCAGAGGGATCAGCAGGCTCCATGCAGGGGGCCCGACGTGGGACTCTATCTCGGGTCTCCAGGATCATGCCCTGGGCTGCAGGTGGCACTAAACTGCTGCGCCACCAGGGCTACCCCTGAAACAGTTTTTTGCTGAACATATTATCTAAGATAGAGAGGAACTACATCAACCATCAGTAGACATGTGACTCTTATAGATATCTTGAACTTTCATTCAACATGTATCTATTGATCAGCTACTGAAGACCCTGAGAATTACAGTTTCTCCCCTCCCCAAGCTTACATTTTAAAAGGAAGAAGCAGACCATAAACAAGAAAGCTGCAGATAACAAGGCAGTTGTGTATAATATGTGATCAGAAGATAATAAACGAAGACATGGGCCAGAGAGAGACTGTTGGTGGAAATAGGGCTAGTTTAGCCAGAGTGGTCAAGGAAAGGCTCTCTCAGCTCTGATGTTTAGTATGAGCCCTGAGGATATGAAGCCGAGGAGGGAGGCAGGAGTCAAAGCAGGCATAGCCTTTGTGTAGGGCAAGGTAAGGACTTCACAATGATTCCAAGTACAGCAGGAAGTCTCTGGAAGGTTCTCAATAAAGAAGTAAACAGGGTCTGATTTTCTTTTCAAAGGTGTCTATGTGGTTATTAGTATCACATCCATGCTGTGTCTTTTAACCCTGAAAGCTCTACTCTTAAGAAGAAAAGTGTCCCCAGCTTCAAGAATGGCCTCAGTCCAGAAGCGGCACATTGCCCTCCCAGTGGCAGCAGGAATGCTGAAGGAAGGAGGGGGCAGAGGGGAAAGGAGACTGTGATGAGTGGAGGGGTGAATGATGCCATCTTACCAGGCACCGGAGACACTACAGACTTGTCCCCAAGGACTACCTCCCTAACCAGTTAAGCACTCCCATCAATCCTATCTCCCAAAACTCTTAAATCTTCTCTCTTCATTTCCATTACTTAGTCTTAGTGTAGAGATAGAAAACTAGGGCATGTAGGCTAGTTCCTGACATTTATGTTTTGTTTAATACACAAGGCTTCATTTAAAAAAGTAGGGGGATATTTTACGATTTGATTTTACATAAAAAATTTTAATTAAAAAAAAAAACACAGCACTGGTATAAGAGTGGACCCACAACCCTGCACAACATTCAACTGGAGCTGCTCCTTTTAGGTAGGTATTACATTCAAGCATTGTTCTCAATGGGCCAAGTGCATGGTCATTTATCATTTCATTTGCCCTACTGTTTTCTCTAGAATAAGGATGATAAGGATCATGATGATGAAAGTAAAATAATTAATGCTTAAGAAGACTTTTACGTACCAGGCACTATTCTAGCCTCTAGCATATACAAACTAATTGTGTGTATATATATACATATATACACAATTTTTTTGCATATAAATTCAATGAATCCTCATAACACTTTTTATGCCTATTTTGTATATGAGAAAATTGGGGCACAGGGAGGTTAAATTATTTGCTCAAAGTCACACATCTAGTAAGTGATGAGGTCAGAATTTGAACCCAGGCAATCTGGCCCTTATGTCACACTTAATCTCTATGTTTTAAACAAGTCTCTAGAAAAAGTGGGAAATTAAAGACCAGGAAAGAAACTTGATTTTTCATAACACTAGCTCATGTCACCCATCTGGTACCTAACCCTCTGGGTACCTGAGTTTGGAGCACTCCCCTTGCCCCAGTCCACATTCTCATTACCTCTCACCCATATGACAGCAACAGTCTCCTAGTCTCTCTTCTTCCTGCCTTGCCCTCACTTGCCCATGTTTCCATGTTTAGCCAGAAGGAAATTTCTGAATTAAAAATCTGAGATAGGGCACCAGGGTGCCTCAGTCAGTTGAGTGTCCAACTTCTGATTTCAGCTCAGGTCATGATCTCAGGGTCGTGAGATCAAGCCCCATGTTGGGCTCCATGCTAAGTGCAGAATCTGCTTGGGATTCTCGATCTCTCTCTCCTTCTGTCCCTCCCCCTGCTCACACACTCTCCCTAAGTAAGTAAATAAATAAAATTTTTATTTTTTTATTTTATTTTTAAAAAGATTTTATTTATTTATTCATGACAGATATATATATATATATATATATATATATATATATATATATATAGAGAGAGAGAGAGAGAGAGAGAGAGAGAGAGGCAGAGACACAGGCAGAAGGAGAAGCAGTCTCCATGCCGGGAGCCTGACTTGGGACTCGATCCCGGGATTCCAGGATTGTGCCCTGGACCAACGGCAGGCGCCAAACCACTGAGCCACCCAGGGATCCCCTAAATAAAATAAAATAAAAAAAAAACGATATAGTGCTCTCCAGCTTAACATCTTTCAAGACTCTCCATTGCCTCTAAGACATTGCATTTGATCTTGTCCCAGGCTGTTATAATAGGCTCAGCTCTTACCACTTCACACCTTCTACCAGGCACTCCAACCTCACCAAAATGCTTTCTTCTTAAACAATGCAAATTCTTTCACGTCATCCTCTCTCTGTAGTGCCTTTTCACCTTTGGCCCTTTAGTCTGGTAGAATGCTACTCAACCTTCAAGGCCCTGCTTAAATATTCCCTCCACTGTGAAGTCTTCCCTGATGCTCCTGGGTTCCCTCCCCTCAATTCTCTTAGTACTTTATATTTGCTTTTATTGAGTACTTTCTTTTAATTTGCAACTGTATATTATTGTATCAGGTAGGAATTCCTTTTGGCTGGATACAAAGATCTGAAAAGTAGTAGCTTAAAACAGATAAAAGTTTATTTTTCTTACAGATTAAAAAAGACCAGTCCACAGCTGGTATGGCTCCCAAAGGTCATCAGGAACCCTACTTCCTTCTGTCTTTCTTCGCCACCACACTCAGCATCATTTTATGATCAAAATGGCTGGAATGCCAGTCATCACAGCCACATGCTAGGCTGGCAGCAGAAGGAAGTAGGTGAAGTGGAAAAGTACTCACTCCCAGCTGAATGGAAGCAGTCTTCTCAGAAGCTCCATAAACATTTCTACTAAACTCTCATCGCCCAGAGTTTTATCCAAGGGGCACACTTAGCTCCAAAGATGTTGGAGAATGGTCTAGTTAATGCTTACCTTTACACACACACAAAAGTACAAATACACAGACAAATGCACACACACATACATGCACATATTTCCATTACTAAGGAAGATAGAGGAAAGGAACTTGAACTTGCTACTAGTGTGGAACAATAATGTCTTATTCACCCTCAGCCCAGCACACAGTGGGTGCACAACAATGACTAAGAGATACACTTTTACCAGAGACCTATGTCCCAGAGAGAAAGTAGAAAGGCTTTTCTACTTCCACCTCCTCATCTTTCCCCTCTATTTATCCCTTAACCTCCATCCCATTTGTCATAGCCTTGACAAAAGTAGATTAATTTCCCAGACTTTCACTGCCTTCTAAAACCTCCTCAAATTTATTCTGAATTCATGAATCCTATTCTGAGAGACATACCATTTGACCAAGGTCTAATTTCCAGGATAGCTGCATAATGAAGTCTTTATGGAGGCAAATCACTGGGGACAGCAGGTTATGGCCTCTCCGTAGACTGATTCTCTCCCCAAATCAATGGCAAGGGGATTCACAAGAAACCAAAGCCCAGGCCATTTCTCCTGCCAGTCTTGAAGTTCCCAGTCTTGAAACTGTTAGAGGAGAAACTCATTTCAACAGCAACTCAAAGAGATGGCGGCTAATGTTCCCCCACAACCCAACCCTATACAACAAAAAGACCTCCTCTTTTTCCCCAAAACAGAAGAAATGAATTTAGTCACTAAAGAGTGAGATTTGTAGACAAGCTGTGGATAGGAAATGGAGGAAGTAAGTCAGAACTTTCTTCTTCAGTGTATGATTTGGCATTTGAAAACACAGTATGCCATTGTCTGTAAACAATGGATAATGTCATCCCCATAGCTCTGAGATCTGAGGACCAAGCAGGTTCCTCTGAGTGTGGGCCTCCATCACAGTGCCCTATTCCTAGAAAAATCCTATTTTGTATATCTGCACCCCTTGCAAACAAGTGTCTGCTCCCAGATAGCCTTGAGTAGATGTGGACCTCCTGAGTCCCCAGGCTTTATCCTAGTTCATGTGTATCCAACCTCAGCTATGTGATGGATGGAGCTTGATATTGGTGAGCACCATACCTGACCACAGGCATTATTGGCAAATAAAAAAAAAATCTTTGGTGCATTAGGTGAGTGTGGAGCCTTCTTCATGATTCTCTAGGAAAGCTGCCCAATATGCCAGGTCACCAGAGTCCTAGTGGATGGATACCACCACTTGCTGGTATCCACCCACCTCTAGGCTGGCTTGCATATGGGGGAGAGCAGGAATAGGGGAGGATTGCTCCTTGGTTCCCAGGAGATGGGAAGAAAGCAGAGGAACCAGCCCCAGCTCCCCTTACTAATAGGCTTCTAGACACTCCACAAGGATTCTGGGAGGTGGGCATCATAAGAGAACAATGAAGATCAGATTTGGGTCAAATGGAATCATGCCCACAAATTAGTAGGAAGATACATTACTTGGGAATGAGGAAGACAGAGTGGGAAAATGGCTGAATGTTGGTGTTCATCACAGCCTAGATGGCTCCAAGATCATTAAGGGACAGTGCCCTTATCCTAGTACCCAGTGACTGAATTCATAAACAAGGCTGGATACAAATGGCTGTAGAAAGCACTGGGCTTCACTCCTGCAGGTATAGCTTTTGAGACTAGCGCTTGCATTGACTACAGGTACCTACTGAAAAGTGGAAAGTGTCCCCACTGGTACTGTCCTCCTTCACTGATGCCCCAAATCCAGCTCAAGTTCTCCCAAATACTTCCTCCCACTTTTTTTTTTTTTTTTTTTGCTCCTTAGCCATGCCATTCACTTATTTATTCAGCAAATGTTGATTGGGACTGCTCTATGACAAGCATGGTGCCAGGTACTTGCAAATCTGTATCCATATAAACATGTAGGACTCCCATTGTCCTACTTTTCTCAAAGAATATAGCTGATTCTCAGTAGATTTCATTTTCCAAATTTGAGTCAGTGTATTAGTTTACTGGGCTGCCGTAATGAAGTACCATGAACTAGACAGCTGAAAACAATGGACTGTATTGCCTCACACAGTGCTAGAGGCTGGAATCCAAAATCAAGGTGTTGCAGGGCTGCACTTCCTCTGGAGTCTGTAGTGGGGAATCCTTCTTCACCTCTTCTAGCTTCTGGTCATAGCTGGGCAACACTGGGCACTTGACTCTAGACGCACGATCAATCCATCTGCCTCCATTATCACAGGTCATCTTCTCCCTGAGTGTCTCCGCTTGGATTAAGGCCCCACTTCACTCCATGAGGACCTCATCTTAATTTAAATAACTGCACCTGTGACATCTCTATTTCCAAACAAGAATGTGAATAATTCACAATCTGAGGTACTGGGGGATTAGGACATCAACACATCTTTTGAGAAGACACACTTCAATTCGTAATAGGTACACAGATGTATTTCTATACCATGTAAAAAGCAACAACGTTAAGTATGCAGGTAAAAGATGCAATGAGGAGTGGCGAGAGCAATGGGGCAGGTGGAGCGTGTGTACCTGCCCAAAGGCCACTGTCTGCATGCAGCAAGAATGAGCCCCATCCCAGAGCCTCGTCCAGGAAAGCAGGAGGTCTGAATTTTTACACAAAACCTTCTAGTTGTAAAAGGTTAGCATCTACATCAAATCAAACAAAATCTGTGTGAGCTAGATTCAGCTTGTGGTTCACCAGTTTGGAACTTCAGGTCCATGGGATCAGGGAGGGTTTCTTGAACAAGATGGTTGCTTCTCAGAATTGGAAACTATACTTTGGCTACACTAGAGTTTAAGGTCAGGGAAGGAAGTGAGATGAGACAGGAGAGAAAAGGAGAAGCTAGATCCTGCAAAGTCTTAGAGGCCACATGGAGGAACGTAGATGCTGTCCAAAGGGAAAATAATGAGTCATCAGTTTTAAGCGGGGAGATGTGCAACCTGCCAAACACTATGGGCTGCCTACACCCTCATCTATCCCTCTCCAGCTCCCTACACACAGAAGCAGAGGGGATGTCAGCCCCGCCTGCCCTCTGGACAATGACCTCTCATGTTCCCCTCAGATTTGCAGAAGCTCCTGAAGATGGTTCGGGAAGATGCCCAGAGGACAGTCACGTTGGAAAATAGGATGCAAAAGAAAGCATCCAGGTACCTTCTCTTGACCCCTGGGGTAAATAAAGGAATTCAGAATAATAGTTATAACATTAGCCAAGGCAGTTCCAAATTATTGAGCATTTTCTCTGTGACAAACACTTGTTCACATGTATCATCACCTCCCTGGGTTCTTACAACAACCCTTTAAGAAAGGTACTAGTATCGGGATCCCTGGGTGGTGCAGCGGTTTGGTGCCTGCCTTTGGCCCAGGGCGCAATCCTGGAGACCCGGGATCGAATCCCACGTCGGGCTCCCGGTGCATGGAGCCTGCTTCTCCCTCTGCCTATGTTTCTGCCTCTCTCTCTCTCTCTGTGTGACTATCATAGATAAATAAAAATTAAAAAAAATTTATTTAAAAAAAAGGAAGGTACTAGTATCTTTATTTTACAAGGAGAAAATGAGGCTCAGAGAGGCTAAGTAACTTGTTCAAGGTCACCTAGCTAATGAATGGGAAGGGCACAACTTGAATGCAGACCCTTCTAATTCCAAAAAGCATCCTCTTAACTATTATGTTGCACTGCTTCCTAGGAATTACAAGGTTATTTGTCCACTCTTTTACTGAATATTTATGAATATGAATGGATTAGGTACTAATTATTGCAAGAAGCATTAAAAGAGGAAAGCTCAGACCTAAGAGGGTGAATAATAGGAGAATCTGATCTAGTCTGGGATGGCAGTGGGTGAGGTGGGGTGGAGGGGAATCAGAGAAGTTTCCTCCAAGGAAGAGACTGTAAGAGATTGTGGATGAGGCAAGAAAGAGCCACCCAGCCAAAGTTGAGGGCAGGTGAACATTTCAGGCAGCAAATGTGCAAACACGTTCAGAAGGGACCATGGCACCTTCAAGAAACTGAAAGCCAGAATGGGATGGAGAGAGGCGTAAGTCTGTCTGGGGACCTTGAAGACCACCTCAAGGATTCTGGTTTCCTTCTTAAGAACAACAAAGATCCTCAGAAGTGTCAAGCCATCAACCAAGACGATCAGCTCATAGCGTCAGACTTGAATCTGAAGTATCTTCCCTCTGGTGGGAAGCCTGGTCCACAGGACTTCTGACCTCGAAAAACCTCAGAGACCATGCAGGCTAGAGCTGGAGTTTCCTTCCCAAGTATGGATCCCTCTGAGTAAGCAAATTACTTCTTGAAAATAAATGATGCACTGGAAGAGGTTCTTCATTGCTTTCAGCCTACTGGGATGCTGGCTATGACTTATTGGTTATTGTTATTACCATAATTACAGTTCACCAAGCACTTGCACATACTTCACACCCGCCACTGCTTGCTAATGATGAGTTTGTTCTGTTGCTGCCTCAACTTGCATCAGGGTTCGGAGGGTGGCCCTTGGAGGCATCCAGAGACAATGTTGGCCTTCAAGGCTCTGGCTGCTGTTTCTGATTTACCAGTATCTACATCAAATCAAACAAAATCTGTGTGAGCTAGATTCAGCTTGTGGTTCACCAGTTTGGAACTTCAGGTCCATGGGATCAGGGAGGGTTTCTTGAACAAGATGGTTGCTTCTCAGAATTGGAAACTATACTTTGGCTACACTAGAGTTTAAGGTCAGGGAAGGAAGTGAGATGAGACAGGAGAGAAAAGGAGAAGCTAGATCCTGCAAAGTCTTAGAGGCCACATGGAGGAACGTGGAGGCCACATGGAGGCCACATGGAGGAAGCCACATGGCCTCTAAGAAGCCTCTTAGAGGCCACATGGAGGAAGCATCAGCTCTATGAGTCTCCCTCCTTGGTAAGAACTCACAGCATGAACACTGGTGTTGAAGTTAGACTGGCACACATTCAAAACCTAGAAGAATCTGACTTAGCCTTTCTCTGAGCCTCAGTTTTCACATCTATAATATGAGATTGTGTGCATTGCCCTTGGAACCAAGTAGGCTAGGGCCGATCTCCATCCCCATCATTTAATTGTCTTGTGATGTTGATTGGGCAAGTTGCTTCACTGCTCTGAGTCTGATTCCCATTGTGTAAAATGAGGCTTATTAACAACCTATCCCAAAGGGTTGTAGTGAGAATTAAATAATATTAGTTTTGTAAAGTATTATTATTGTTGTAGAAATTATCTATTTCAATAAGTCATTTTAAGAATTTAGGTGAAATAATGTATTTAACATATTAGCATGTGCCAGGCATATTACAAGCACTCAATATATGGCAGTCATGGTTGTGGTGGTGGTGGTGGTGGTGGTACTTTTATTTCACACATAGCATCCCACGGAATCCTCACAGCACATTTTTGAAGCAGGTTTATTAACAACTACTCATTACCAACGCCTCACAAACATGAATGGAGAAGGAGGATGAGTGACTTGCATATGGTCCTCAAAAGACAAAACCACATGAGAACACAAAACTCATCACATGGCCTTTGCATTCACTTCAGTGATTACAATAACCATGGTGACAGAGCAAGAACCTGTTGAAATTTCCCATGCTCCTCAATTCCTCTGGGAGAAAAATCTCCCTAATCTCTTCCAGAGGCAGCAGATAACAGAGGCTTCTCTGTAGAGCTGCAAAGAGACAGTGAAGAAAAGCTGCACATTTTCTTCTGCCAACTTCATTTTAGAATCTGGATTCCTTTTTCAGTGCAGGCCCCAAATCTGTTCCCATCAGGGCTGACATAGAAATCTTGGGCTTTTCATAACCCTTAAAAGTCAACTGGACCAGCTCCAGTCTCAAGGCCAGACTGCTCTCTAGTCATCTTAGTCTGTTTGGGCTGCTGTAACAAAAATACCATGGAATATGTGGCTTACAAACAACAGATACTTATTTCTCACAGTTTTGGAGGTTGAGGAGTCCAAAATCAAGGTTCCAGCAGATTCGGTGTCCAGTGAGGGCCTTCCCCATAGATGATTGTCTTCTCACTGTAACCTTGCAAAGGGGAAGGGAACTCCCTGGACTTTCTTTTATAAGAGACTAATCCCAATCATGAGAGTTCTGACCTCATGAGCTAATCACCTCCCAAAGCCTTCAGCTCCTAATACCTTCACCTTGGGGATTAGGGTTTCAACATGTGAATTTGGAGGGATGCAAACACTCAGACCATAACATCACCCAGAAAGATGATCTTTTCTTAAAATCTTCTTTTTTTTAATTTTTTTTTTTATTTATTTACGATAGTCATACAGAGAGAGAGTGAGAGGCAGAGACACAGGCAGAGGGAGAAGCAGGCTCCATGCACCGGGAGCCTGACGTGGGATTCGATCCTGGGTCTCCAGGATCGCGCCCTGGGCCAAGGCAGGCGCCAAACCGCTGCGCCACCCAGGGATCCCTTCTTAAAATCTTCTAACAGTATTTTCTAAATGTCTCTGAGGAGCAGAATTAGCTGAGATGCTTGTTAAAAATACAAATTTTTAGTCTTCATCCCAGACCCACTGAATCAGGATCTCCAGAAGAAACTGTATTTTTAAACAAACACTTCAAGCTGAGAAATTCTACGGTTTCAAAATGTGCTCTCTGCACACCTGTATTAGAAGTGTGTGTGTGTGTGTGTGTGTGTATGTGTGTGTGTGATTGTAAATGCAGCTTCCGGGGCCTCACTCAGGGTCTGATGTATCCAAATCCCTGAGGTTATGGTCCAGGAATTTGTATTATTTGCAATCTCTCCAGATGATTCCCATGCCCAGTAAAATGTCAGGATCCTTGCTGTAGAAAGAGAATTCTCCATCCTCCCACAGATATTTTCTGGCTTAGGGGCACCATATATTCTGTGCCTTATTAAGAGACTCATCTTGCTTTGCAGTATCTTGCCAATGATCAGACAAAACAAGAGTGATTCCACCAATAAAGACATACAGACCACCCACAAATCAAGGTAGGCGGGCACCTCACAGTTACAGGGACCGTTAAAGAGATGTCCCTTACCAGACCATGGAAAGTGGGGCAGGGAGTGGGGTACTTTTTCCTTCTTGACTAGAAATAAGTCCCTTAATTTCTGGGGCTGAGGGTGAGTATCCAGGTGTCTTTCCCCTAACTCAAACTGTATAAAGTTAAAATCTTCCAGTCATGGAGAGCTATGAAGCAGAGAAGGTTATGTTACAAGACCACCCTTTCTCTCTTTATTTGGATGACTTATAATGAGGGAGGGGAGGTCCACCCCATTCATTTACTTATCCTGAGTATACTTATCAGTCCCTCCATGTGCCAGGATCTGTGCTAGGTTTGGAGGGATTCAACAGCAAAGAGGCCATACACAGTCTGCCCTCAGGGATCTCACAATCTGGACTGGGGTCATAACATTTTTTGTGTTACAGATCCTTCCAGAAAAATGCTTTTAAATGCTTACTGTAAATTATAAAGGTTTGCAAAGAAATCTATTGTACTGTGTATTATGATATTACAACCAAATTTGGGATATAGTCATCTATGAGCTGCTTTAGCAATGAATTATATAACAAGACTTAGCAGCAGATCTAATAACTACTGTAATTTTAGATTAGTGTTGAGTGTAAATGATCTTTCAAAGTAGCTTCCATGATTGTAATCACCCAGGAATTTGTATTGTACAAATACATGGGATTTCCATTTCTGCTACAGGCTAGTTGAAATATATAGGCTAGTTGAAAGATGTAACCTTTCTTCTATCTGCTTTCATGGACTCCTTGAACCCTGCCCATGGTTAAGAATTACTGGCCTAATGAGAGAGCCATGCATTTATTAAATAATCCCACAAAGTTAGCCAAATAATCATGACCATGGGAAGTGTTCTGAGGGAAAAGTAAGGAGGACTGGGTAAATGTTGAGCACCAGAGACTTAAGACTGAGTTTGAGCTAACATCCTGAAGAAAAGAAGACTTAGCTAGCCTATGGTGCAGATAGGTGGGGATAGGTGGGAATCCAAGCCAAAGGAATAACATGTGCAAAGGGCCTGAGATAGGAGAAAGCTTAGGGGCATTGAGCAGAAATAAGTATGGCTGAAATTCTAGGAGAGCCCAGGAAAAGTGAGACAGAGACAGGGAAAGGGTCTTTGTTGTTTATTCCTATTTGTTCTTTTATCACATCTCCTCCCTGAGTCACACTGTCAGTGCTAGACGACAGTCATCTACAGGAGGAAGGTCAAAGCCAATATACTCACCCAAAGAATTCATCTGCAGGGGTTGGGGCAGTTGGTTGGAATCCAAATTCAAGGACCTCTGGGTACTATTCCTGGCCTGCATCCCAGAGAGATGGGATAACGGCTCAATCCATCAACTACCAGAGCTAAGACTTCTAGATCCAGTCCTCTGAACCCCTGGAGAAAGCAACAAAGGTCAGGACCTTTCCTATGGAAAGGAGTCTGGGAAGTGGCCAGCCTACCTAAAGAAATTCTAGGTGCTACAGAGCCAGAAGGGAAGGGTCAGCTGCACATCACAGAGATAAGAAAAACAGACTTATCCTTTCTAGAACCACACAGAGAAGGCAGTCAAGTAAGTTTTCCAAGCATTTGGTAAAAAGAAAGGGAGACGGCAAGAGAGAAGGTGCGAGACACTGGCGCTGAAGAACCTGGGAGAAGGTACAGGGGAGGGATGGGCATGAGCAAAGGAGCTTCACCCCCTTCCAGGATCTCTGACCAGGCAGAGCCACAGGAGGGAGTGGCCACTCAAGGAAGTCAATCAGCCCACACCTAGAAAGGGCTCAATGTCATGAAGAGTTGACTGATCACAGATGAGGACATTAATGATCCAGAGCTGAGGTGCTTGCCCAGAGACTGGGAGGTGGTGGTGCCAGGTTTGGGCTCTGGAGTCAGCTCTGTCTGCCTCCAAAGTAAAGCGAAGTGAGTTGTCAGCTCGGGTCCAGTTTAGAGAAGGGAATCCTTGAATGAAGAAGTAGTCCGGGGTTGGGAACATCAACACCATGATCAGAAGGACTTGACCATCCCTTCACCAGATCTGCACTCAGCCGCAGGGTTGCATGCTAATTGGTATAGAGAGGAAAATGGAAGGGCCCCCAGGTGAACTTGCCCTCTAGAGGGAAAGATCGATTGTGTACAAATGAAACTGGGATCCAGCAAATATGTCATCCTGACAATATACAGAGACAGAAGGTCAAAGTCAGACTAGAAGAGTCAGAGCTGGCAGAAATTGCTGTAGACCATAAGGTGGTTGGATTTGAGCAGGTGGAGAAGAAACAAGAAAGACCCTCCAGGCAGGGGATATGGGTAAGAAGCAAGGGCCAAGAAGTGGGGAAAATATGCACTCAGTTCTACGACAGGTCCCTTGATTGAGCCACCTCCCTTCTCTGAATCCTGGAGGCTAACTGGTGTCATGGGAGCCCCCAAAGAACCCTCTTTATGAAAAGTAGGCTACAGGCAACCTAAAATCATCCCTTCATGTTCATTGACAGATCCAGCAGTACAAGTGGAGAAAGCCACACTCAAATCATCCAGAAGAAGTCTAAAAGGTAGGCCAGATGGGCAAGAGAACAAGCTGGGCAAAGGCACTGTGGCAACCACATCATCTGTCTTCCCAGAGGTGTGGGAAGAACCCAATGCAGACTAGACCCCCTGAAGCCATACACAATGCTTAAAGACAAGGGATACCCAGGGCAAGGGGCTCACAGGCAAGATGCCAATGCAGACAATGGCAACAAATTCCTCTCTGTGCCAGGCACTGGGTGAAGGATTTCATATTCATTATCTTGCTTATTCCCCAAAACCAATTCTATGAAGTAGGAGCATTATCCCATTATATGGAGGAGCAAAGTGAGACCTGGCCAGGTGAGCTGTCTTGCCCGAGGCCACACAGCTAAGAAATGGTGGTACAGGAGTTTGAACCTCAGTTTCCCAGCTCCTGATTGCATTTGATCTCACTCTCCTTAACATTTGCTGGGCTCAAGTGACCAGATGTCTCCCTGTGGGCTTGTTTAATAAAGCCTGAACCACTAGCCTGAATTGTTGGAAAGACCTATCCTTCCTACATCCAGGGAAATGCTGAGAGAAAATCCAGGTGGGAGTAGGGAACCCAGGGTGGTGCAGAGAATCTCCATGGCAGAGCACCTTGGGGCCCAAGGAATCCAGCCTCACGGGTCTGATCCTGGGGCTTTGTCCCCTAAACTCTTCATATCTGTGTCTACAGCTGCACCAACCATGATATCATCCAGTGCAAGAGTGGCGTATGCAGCACCATGAGGGCCAAGTTTTATGGTGTGGCCCAGGAGGCTGGCTTCTGTCTTCAAGATAAGATGGAAATCCTCATGAAGTAAGGGCATATAAACATCCATTCACCCAAAGGACATTCATCTAGTACTCACCATGAGCCCACTGATGCCAGGTGCTGGGGCTTAGCAGGGAATAAGGACACATTTCCTGCTCTTGGAGAGATTACAGTTTCCTGGGAAATATGGGCAGAAACAAATAGCTAAATTGATACAAATGTAGGTTGCCATACAGGAAGATAACAGGGTGCCATGAGAGGAATCATGAGGACCTAATTTAGGCTGCGTAATCCAGGGGGACTTCTCTAAGGAAGTGACTTTAGACTGAGCTTTGACAGGTGAGGAATTGTTGGTGATCTAAGACAGTGGAAGGACATTTCAGGCAGCAGGAAAAGTACATACAAAGCCCCAAGGCAGGAACGGACATGAAAATTTGAAGAGAAGGCAGAAGGAGGTGGTGAGGGTAGTAGTATACACAGCCATGAATGCCCTACTTCAGACTTGGAACTTGATGTTAAGAGCATTGGTGGGCTATTGGAAGATTTTCTTTCCTACCCTGATACCCAATAAGTGTTTCACTTCCCAGCCTGCCCCTTGACTGTGGTGACCATTCACCCCAGTGAAATGAATCTATTCCACTCAACGAAGGTTATACTGTGACACTTTGGTCTCTCATTCTGGGAGCATGGAGGGTTAGCTGCTCTGACTGCTCACTGGGAGATGACTTGCCCTCACCTTCTGGGAGCCCCCATCTGATGAGTGAGACAGAAAAATAAACAGGCAGTTACCACACAGATGATGAGGGTCAACATGGGAATGAGCCTGGGGCTAAGGGAACACATGAAAATGATGTCTTACTTAGCCTGAGACAGCAATCAGGAAGGTCTTCCTGGAGGAAACAACATTTTCAGTTCAATAAAAAATCGGTGAGATTTTTACTCTATACAAGCCAGGGCTCTTACCATGTGTAAGAGCTTTGTATTTATCATTTAGCCCTCACAAAAATCCTATGAAGCAGATGCTGTTATTAGACCCATCTTATAGATAAGAAAAGTGGGCTCAGAGATGTCTCTTGTCAAAGGTCAGCCAGTGGTTAAGTAGTAAAGGTGGAATTTGAACCTGGAGAGTTGCATAAGAAGAGGCAAGGAGGGACAGGAGTTCCAGGGGAAAACAACAGCAAAGTCTTAGAGGCCAGAAGGGGTACAGGGCACCAGGAAATGCCAGTAGTCAGGTGTGGTTGGGGCTTATGCTGCTTTCATGGTAATTAGAGAGACAGAGACAAGATCATAAAAGGTCTTGCTAGCCCAGCTGTGGAGGTTGAACTTTACCTCAGAACTTTGTTCAGAGCCAAAGTATAAAATGCCAAGCTGGAAAATGCTGTAGAGGCTGAATAATCCAGAGCCTTGGAGAGCAGGTTACTCAAGGAACTTTATTCCAAATAAAATGGAAAGCCATTGAAAGTTCTATACAGGTGAGTGACACGGTTATGTTTATAGTTTAAAGACTCCTTAAGAGAGCTAGGACATATGCTCAAAATGATAAGGGGAGTGGGGAAAAGAGGAATCAACTTGAGTTAAACACCTACTGTGCATCTGGCATTAAGCCCAGTACTTTGCACACATTGTATCATTTAATCCTCACCCCCAAGCACCAGAGCCATTATTACCCTCTATTTTCCAATTAGAAAACTGTGTAAATACAATCAAAAATAGTAGGTAGAGAAAGAAGGCTGATAAAAAAGTGACTGGATTTAGCAAGAAGGGAGCATTTCAGGACCTTGGAGAGAGTTGTGTCACCTTGTGGCCTGAGCCACATTGTAAATTGAAGAGTGTCTGAGAAGGCTGAGGATTTCATGAAGAAAAGGGTATTTAAGTCAGATCTCAAAGGGCAACCCGGATGGGTAAAGAAGAAGGGGGTCTGATCTCTTTCCTCTTTTTCATACAATGTGTGATGTAGGCGCCAAGAAGAGAGAGTTCTCCAGAAGTTCCATTCTTTCAACATTGTCTCGAATTTTGAAAAGGATATAGCAAAAATGAGATATCAAGCCTCCATGATAAAAGGGGATGCAGAAGAAATTGCAGACCACTGGTAAAGATCCTGAGAGCCAGATAAGATGGTCCTCGACATGGGTGGAGGGGGAACGGGCTGTTATTAAAAAAAATCACATTTGATCCCATTATCCTTCAAGACTGTTAATGGCCACCAGCAGCAACCACCCCCCACAAAAGGCAGTCAGGCAAGAACCCCTCAGTTCCTGATTTACAGAAAATCCAACAACTGTATGCTCCATATTTATCTTCTGTTTGATTCACACTTGCAAATAAGGACTAATTTGTCAGCCCTTTGGGAGAGGCGATAAGGCAAACCACCTAAACATTTCTACAAATTGTGAGGTCTCTGGGTCAATCCCTATATTCCCCCCAAATAATCTGACCCCTTAGGATATAAAACCAGGCAAGCATGTCCTAGGAACACTGTGCCCTGGTATGGGGGTGATAGTATAGGTACAACAAAAAGCAACATGAATTGAGTGATTCCTGGGTGGCAGACACTATCTTAAAAAAATTTCCTGGGGCAGCCAGGGTGGCTCAGCAGTTTAGCACCACCTTCAGCCCAGGGCCTGATCCTGGAGACCCAGGATCGAGTCCTACATCAGGCTCCCTGCGTGGAGCCTGCTTCTCCTGCCTGTCTCTCTGCCTCTCTCTCTGTGTATCTCTCATGAATAAATAAAATTTTAGAAAAAAAAGAAATTTTCCTAAACTATCTATTTTATTTCCCACCAAAATCCTGAAAGTTACATAGTAATCTCTGCTTTGTAAATAAGGAAACCTCAAGATTTAAACCCATATTTAAACCCTTGTCTAACCCCAGTTGCTATGCTCATCTGCAATATAGAATTTGGAGTCTGCCATGAACCCCATCATAGCAGGGTGAGTAAATCAAGATCTAAGAGTAAGATGAGAAAGCCTAAAAATGTACCCAGAATCCCTTCATGATTTTAATAATGTGGAATGGGAGCTTACAAGAGACACAAATAAATATACACCACAAAATATAAAATACAAAGCTGTGCACATAGCCCAAAATTAGATGGTCAATTTCTTTTTTTTTTTAAGATTTATTTATTCATGAGAGACACACACAGAGAGAGAGAGAGAGGCAGAGACATAGATGGAGAGAGAAGCAGGCTCCTTGCAAGGAGCCTAATTCAGGACTCGATCCTAGGACCCAGGATCACACCCTGAGCCAAAGGCAGATGCTCAATCACTGAGCCATTCAGGCATCCCTAAATGATCAATTTCTTCTTCATATTTCTCTACAATTGATTCATCTACATCAGGGGGGAGAATCCTTTTTTCTTTTTTAAAGCGATGCCATCCTCTGCCTTACACCCTGTTCACCTGAACCACCTCTAGGTTAGAATCTACCTTCTTGCTACCATCTCAAGAATGGATTACCAAACTACCCTCACACACTGTTGCAGCATTCAGAAAGGTTCTCAAAACTCACTGAAACATACAAAGCTGTGGTCCAAGCTTACTCACTCTCAGGGGCGAAAATACACACTTCCCCTTCCTCGTCCTCCTCCTTCATCTTGGGCATGAGAGCTCCTTGCATCCTGGTAGGGATTCCACAGATATGTCAGTGTCCTCCCTGGTCTGATTAACTCTCAAAAAAGAAGCTTCAAAATCTCGGTGTCCCTTCCTTTCTTGTGGCTTTTCACATTGTCTGCTTGATAGAAAAACCAGAAATGCTTTAAAGCATGCCCTTAATTTGTTTTTTTATGAGATGCAGATCACACTCCAGCTTTTTACTACCCCTAAAAAAACAAAAGACGTACCTGACCTGTGAGCCCTTTATACTCAGGATGGAGGCTGTTCTCCCAAATAAAGATGATGCTGCCCTGGAGACATCACATGAGTGGTAGAAAGAGAAAGTGGGGATGTAGGACCTAAGATACTCAGACTCACACCCCAGCAGCTTTCTAACTGGCCCTCTCTTCTTGGGATTGGGAATTGAAGGTACTTTGATCTACTGTCCAAACTCCCTGAAGATCTGAAGAATTTCCGCCCTGCTAAAAAGATCCTGGCAAAACTGCAGAAGTTTGGAGAAAACCTGGACCTCAGGATTCGGCCCCGTGTCTTCCTGAAGGTGCTACAGGACCTGAGAATCTGGGAGCTGTGCTCTCCAGATATTGCTGTGGCTATCGAGGTAACTACCATGTTCTGTCTGCTTCGCACTATGCCTCTGGTGCCCTTTTTCAGTCAGTCATCTCTCAACATCTAGGCACTGTTTAAAAGCTGCAGACACAATTAAAAAGACATAAGGTCTCTGCCTCCACAGAGCTCATCATCTCCAACAGGCAAGGGATTACTACATGACCTTGGTGGTTCAACTCCAGGGGACATTATATTCTGTGTAAACGGTGCCCCCTGGGGAAACTTGGATGCTTTGGAGAGACATAAATAAATAGGCAAGAAAATAAAATAAATAACTGGCAATCATAATAAGGAGCATTCTAAATCTCGCCTGTGGAGTATAGACCTCACCTGGGTGCTTTTTAGAAATGCAGAATCTGAGGCTTCAAACCATATCTACCAACTCACAGTCTACATTTAAATGAGGTCCCTGGTGATTTGTATGCACAATAAAGTTTAAGGAGAACTGATTTAAGGTAAATGTAGAGGGGACCTATCTTGACTAGGGTGATTAGGGAAGGTGACTTTTAAGCTGAAACAGAACTTGATTTGTGGGAGGGACTCATTGGCAGTCAATGGGTTGAGAAGGAAGCAACCATGGAGGTGAAAGGTGGCAAGGAGATTGAAGAGGTCAGTCTGTGCAGAACTTTGAAATCAAGTTAGGATTTAGGTCTTTAACTTAAAGCTGCAGGAAAGCCACTGAATGGCTTTTAATGGTAGTTTATCATCACCCCCCACTCTAGATGGTCCTAAGGCACCAAATGGTATCAGCAGATGGGGAAGAGTCATTTCCTTAATTCATCAGATGGCATACATACATTTCTTTTTAAGTCGGCTCCATGCCCAATCTGAAGCCCAATACAAGCATGAGATTGAGACCCGAGCTGAGATCAAGAGTCAGACACTTAATCAACTAAGCTACCCAGGTCCCCCAAATGGGCTTTCAATGTCTCAAGATAAAGATAGGAATCAAATGGTGGAATTCTCAGTCCTCTGGGTATTTTCATGCCAGGCTGGCACTCCCACAAGTTGACCTGGGTGTATATATGTGGGTGCAAGGTCAGGAGTAGGAGAAGACAGATGACCCTGTGGACAAATTCATAGGTCCAGATTGCACTCCCAAAATCTCATGAGGCTCCTTCAGAAAAGAGTGATAGGCTAGTCCAAAACTAACTCAAGAGCAACTGTCCACTCCCTACTTGCCATTTATGGGGTCCACCTTCCACCTGCCCGCTATGGGGGTATAGAAGAGGCAATCTCCAAGTGAGTAAGAGGAAGGGATTATGGAGGCTCTGATGTGAGTTCATCACCCTGGCTAGTAAAACTTAGCATGCTCCTCTCCCAGTAAGAACATCACAGAATGTCCAATAGCCTGGATGTGGAGGTGTCTTAATCTAGAACCTGAATGAAACTACATTTTGTGTCTTAAAGCCTTTTCTGGAAGTAAGCTCATAGTTAGCATCAGTGCTCAAAAAGGTCTACAAACAAACAAAAAAAATGACTTCTTAAAAAGATATTAAGGATTAGGACAAAAAGAAAAATGCAGACAGCTGGGTTTTTCTGCTCTCCACAAATTTCTCTGGGTCAACAATAACAAAAAAGGGGCTTAAAATTAGTCTGCTGAGCCAGGAAGCTGGAAAGGGGTTCTTTTCTTCAGAGAACCATTCTCATCATGATGCTCTAGGCATTATGAATGCCTGAACAGTTAGAGGCATCCTGCGGCCACCAGCCTTAGTCACATATCTTCCAGGATTTTGGAGGTGGGACAGAAAAGGGAGTCTAGCTTTTAGATAACATCTGAAGTTGCCACTGCATCTGTCCCACAGTTTGTACGTGAACACATCATCCAGATGTCTCAAGAGGATTATATCAACTGGCTGCAGAACCAGATCAATAGCCCTATCTGATCCCAAAGTCTCCGGGCATAGTCTAGACCTGGGTCAACCAGCTGTCCCAGTGGAGGAGAACTAGACTACACTGTATTCCTGCTTCCTGCTTATTGTCGTGGATACTCACTAGGATATATGAGGGTCTGACTTCTGGCAACATTTGAGAGGTGGATACTCCCAGGTGGAAACCCCTCAACCTTACACCACAGCCTCAAATCCCCACTTTCTGTTCCTCATTGGTCCAGCCTGACTCTACCTACTCCCTCTCCAGATGCCTTCACCTTACTCCTCCTCCTCAAATTCTGGTTAATATAATGGAGCTGAGTGTTTGATGTCTGGCTGGGAAAGAGAACTGCTGAATTTGGGTATGGTATTCAGATCCTAATAATAACCATGGTTACTATTTTTTTTTAATTTTATGATAGTCACAGAGAGAGAGAGAGAGAGAGAGGCAGAGACACAGGCAGAGGGAGAAGCAGGCTCCATGCGCCGGGAGCCCGATGTGGGATTCGATCCCGGGTCTCCGGGATCACGCCCTGGGCCAAAGGCAGGCGCCAAACCGCTGTGCCACCCAGGGATCCCCCATGGTTAGTATTTATTGGGTTTTTGTTATACAGTAGGCCCAGTGCTGGGTGAAATCATATGGCTTGATTATATCATTTAATCTCACAATAACTTGGCTTAATAAGTAGGGAATGACGATACTGCCCCCAATTCACACCATTGGAGCTACAGCTTATTTCTAAATATTACATATAGGCTATGGATGGATAGCTGGGTAGGTGGGTAGATGAATGGATGAGTGGGTGAGTAGGTGGATGGATGGATGGATGGATGGATGGATGACACATTTCCCAACAAGGCAAATGGTGTACAAGAAAACCTCAGTCTTATCAGTTCTCGTATATTTTCTGGTGGTCTTGGTTGCACAAGGAAGCTTAACTTCCTGTCAACTCAAAATGTGTATGGACTCACTGCCTTTTACCTCTTTTCTCATTTTAGTTTTATGCTTACCCACATTCTCTCTAAGTTGTAGAACTGATAGTCATTTTAACTCTCACTGAGGGACAGCTGAATTAATGATGAAACAACTGGACTCCATTTGCTCCAATTCCCAGATTATCAGAGTACTCATATAGGCTGGCCTCCACATCTCTTCATGATAATCCAGGAGGGAGGGAGGAGAGCTAAACTGGCACTACTTGTCAGTCTAAGCAACAGCTTACTCTTCCATTCACCTAGTCAAGTCATTTACTCATGCATTCAATGACTGTTTATTGAGAGCCCAGTATGCATCAACCAAGTTCTAGGTTCTGAAGATATAGCAATGACTAAAGCAGACAAGGTCCCTGGGCAGAGGGATGGCACAGCATCACACGTCTCTTCACACTAACATCCTTTGTTTAGCATGGTACCTCAACAAGCCTTCGAGGTGCAAAGGGGAGCTACTGCCTATAAGAAGCCTGCAAAGTTAAGAGACCCCACACCTCTTCGTATTAAATAGGAATTTGGGTGAGGGGGAGGTGAGCAGAAAGGAGGAGGTCCAAGAGAGAAAAAAAAAGAGGAAGAAAGAAAGGGGGCTGAATAACAGAGTGAGAAGGAAACTTGGGGAAAAATCAACCAGTAGTTCCCAAGGTAGGGGGCTGGCTACAGGATCTCCTAGAACTACAAGCCAAACCAACCCCTCCACTACATCGCCTTAGATTGTCAGTAATTTCTGTCATATACTCAAGTGTCCTCTGTGAGTGATGTTTTGAGGAAACAGGAAAAGAAGCTATGTTCTACATCTGGGTCTGTCTGGGGGCAAAGAAAGGTCTTAAGGGACTCAGCATTGAACACAATAAAGAATTGGAGCAGGAAGTCCAGTCCGAGACAGACTACTCTTCCACAAGCTCTCTAGATTTATAGAAATCTTGAATGCACATTTGGCTTCCCACTAGAAAGGGGATGGGACTCTGCCAAATTGATAGATATCTCATACATCTCTCAAATGTCAGGTGACATTTAATTACACTACAGCATCAGCGTAATGGTGTCAAAGCAGGTACAAGAACATCCCAGGGGATATCGGGCTAGAGGTGACAGGAGGGGGTGGGTCTCAACTCAGATTTGAGGTGTCAGGAAAGGTTTTCTAGGGAGGGTGATGACAGCTGTAAGAGGAGTAGGAGCCAGGGAAAGGTAAGCCAGACAAGGAGGAAGGGAAGAATGCTCCAGGTACAGAGAAGAGCATGTACAATGGCCTAGGGGCAAAAAGAAACTTGATGTCATTTGAGGAACTAAAATAACAAAGTCTGGCTAAACTATAAGATCAGGTTAGCAGGACAGGGAAATGGAGGAGAGAGGTAGAGACACTTCTGGAGATACTGTCTAAGGCCATGTTATAAGGTTAGGACCAACTTACTGGCAATAGGGAGCCATGGATGGATTCTGAGCAGGGGAATAATTAGACTTGTGTCCCAGAAAAAAGAAAAGGCTGTTGTATAAATGCAAGGCAGGAGGCAGGGAGCTAAGATAAGACTGCTGTGGTGATTGTAGGAAGAGTAATGGCAGTGGAAAAATCTCTTGAAAAGAATCAAAAGGGGATGGCTGGGTGGTTCAGCAGTTGAGTGTCTGCCTTTGGCTCAGGTCATGATCTCAGGCTCCCCACAAGGAGCCTCCTCCTCCCTCTGCCTATGTCTCTCAATCTCTCTCTCTCTCTCTCTTTCTCTCTCTCTCATGAATCTTTTTTCTTTTAAGATTTATTTATTCATGAGAGACACACACACACAGAGAGAGAGAGAGAGAGAGAGAGAGAGAGGCAGAGACACCGGCAGAGGGAGAAGCAGGCTCCATGCAGGGAGCCTGATGTGGGACTCGATCCCAGGTCTCCAGGATCACGCCCTGGGCTGAAGGCGGTGCTAAACCGCTGAGCCACCCAGGCTGCCCATGAATCTTTTGAAAAAAAGAATCAACAGAACTTTGTGTGGTGGGTTACAAGTGGGCAGAAGGCAGAATGTCAGGAACCATGTCTGGTTTTCCAGCTTGACTCTGGGTGGAGGATGGCGTCTTTAATGTACCAGGAGAAAAGGAAGAAAAGAAAGTTCAGGACATTCTGTTTTGAGCATATGGAGTGGGACCATGGAGTGGAAGAATCCAAAACTCAGGAGGGAGAGCCAAGGTGGAGATAGAAATAGGACATTAGCATTGCATGGACCATGATGGTTAACATAGGAAGAGGGAGGAGAGGTAAGGGGAGAGGGGAGGAGAGGAGAGAGGCCTGGAGGACAGAATGACAAAAGCATCATCAGCCCACTCACAATCTAACTCTGAGGGACTGCTTTGTTCCAGACACTGTAGAAAATGCTTGACACAGATTATCTCATTTCATCTTCAGGATCCTACAAGGCTGGGCTCGCCTGCTTTACAGACGATGAAACAGAGCCTCCCAAAAGTGCCCTGCATTCATTTCCAACTCCCTCCCTTCCTCCATAGCTGCCCTCTCTGACCCCTGTCCTCATTGTATGAGACGAGGAGGTCATGAAAGTTATCTTTCTTTTGGAATCATACCCCAGGTACAGCTCTAATGGTGGGGATCCCTGACAGTGTATTTACTTTTACTTACATTTGCACAGTTTGCAAATAAGATAATACTCCCATAATAGCTTATTGGATGCTTGCAGCATCCCTCTTAGGTGGGCACTGTTCTAATCCACATTTTACAAGCAAAGACTTAGGTCATTTGCCAACAGTCACACAGCCAGTAAGTGGCAGAGCCAAGTCCAGAATGTGTCCATCTTGGGCAGGAGAGATGCTAAAATCACAAGACACTGGGCCCTCCTGCTGGCCCCTTTCTGAGCCTAGTTCTCAGAGCTGTATCTCCATCTAGTGGTCAATATTAGCATTGCGCTCCCATCATGCTCGTCAGCAAAATTGGACCTTTTGCCAAAAAGGAAGAAGGCAAGCATTACCAGCTGCAAGAAGACCTACTCTGCTTAGACAAGGAGTATTTACTCAAACAAGGGAAGATATTTTACTGCTAAGATAGACTGGGGAGTCAGAGGAAAGAATACATCATCTCTAAGCACCCAGGCTCAAAGAAGAGCCACACGTGGAGAAATAGTTGTGCTGTAAGCATCTTCCTCAGAATCATAATCAAACACCTACTGGTGTGCCAAGCTTGTGCCAGATGACCAGGATCCACTGTCCTGCTTCTCTGACCAAGCTGCCTGCATAGCTCTCATGAGAGCTTTTTAAACTGCATGTACCCTATAGAAGCTTTCTCTGTAAAGGAGCAGAGAATAAGTATCTGTTGCTTATTCTTTTTATATATGTAGCCCTTTAAAAATGTAAAGGTCATTCTTATACTGGAAGCTATATAAAACAGACTGCACCCAGATTTGGGTCATAGGCTATAATTTACTGACCCCTGCAAAAGCGTCAAAATGAAGGAAGAAAGATAAGTTCCTTCCCCAAAACCTGAGACAGGGAGGACTGGTGAAAATAATACAGTAAATATGTAGACAAAGAGGTTTATGTTTTTTGCACCATTCATGATAGTTAGGGAATATTACGTCTCCTTTAGGAAATGGAGAAAGGGAATGTATGTACATGTTAAAAATTGTCACACTGCAAAAGGACGTTCACTAAATAGTATTTCTTTCCCCTCCAAACCTCAGACCCCACTCTCATCTAAACAGGTAATGCCACTGTGCTTAGTAGCTTGTGTATCTTCCAAAGTTACCCTGTGCATATACAAGCCAAAAACAAACAAATTAAAATGGAGCATTTACTGCGTGCTTATTGTATGCCAGATAAATGCCTTGTGTGTTCATCTCAGTTTATCCTGAGAGCAGCTCTATGAAGCCAGTATGACTCTGATATCAATAGTAGAGGAAACTGGGCACATGGGTGGCTCTGATTGAGCATCTGCCTTTGGCTCAGGGCGTGAACCTGGGGTCCTGGGATCAAGTCTCACACCGGGTTCCTCTCAGGGAACCTGCTTGTCCCTCTGCCTATATCTCTGCCTCTCTCTGTATGTC